CCCGTTTCTCCCTCGCACACCCCTCTTCGTGTTCGGCCGCTGCGGCCCCAGTTAGAACCTCTTAGCGATTTCTTACCGTCCAAACCTAGGTTATAGGTTGAATCGGCTTCTAGCCCGTGACATTATAGATGTCTGCCTTAGTAGCTGGCCTCTAAGACAGCCTATCAGCCATAGTATTCTTAGAACTAGGTATATATTATATAGTGAAGTTAAAGAGTTAGATCTATATAATCTAATAAACTACTATCACACTAGGAAGGTTAGTTACTATTTAATTAAGCTAAGTAACTAATATGGCTGTGTCTACTTCCAGTATAAAGTAATATCTATATAGCTAGGTGTAGAACTTCTTAAGGGACTTAAGCACTATACAGTACTCCTTCTTTCCTATATTATAGTTTAACTCTACTCCTACCTAGATGCTACTCTTAAACTAAATGGGGTGCTGCTTATTTATTCCTACCTCATACTATATTAGATTACCACCCTAGCCCTCATTGCTAGCATCATATATGAGGATTACTTCCCCTACCTTACTTAGCATGCTATCCTTAAGCACTACTAGGTACTCAAGAGCTTTTAGGGCTAGTGCTGATATAAGAGCTATCTTTAACTAGTCTATTATAAGCTGCTCTAGTTGGCCCTAGGTAAAGGCTATATCTTTCTAGAAGAGAGTATAGATTAGCTCTGTAATGATGGTGAACCCCTTAATCTAGATCTAATAATAGATAATAACACTAATGAATAACCTAGCCTTATATATACTCTGGCATGGTAGCTAGTCTATTATCTTAATAACCTTTGCCTTCTTGGGGTGCCTCCCATTATAATTACAGATATACCTAATAATTTTGACTGCTAGCACTAGAAACTAGGACTTAGCTCTATAGATAGTTAATCTAGAGAGCTTAATACTATGCAATATCCAGTCTAGGTTAAGGAGGTGCTTAAAAATAAATTATTACACCTCTAGGAGTACCTCTTTATTATTATACCTTGTCTTTAGACCTTTCACCCTAACATTATCAAGGAAGGGACTGCAATATGTTAGTGCATTATCCTTAAGCACCTTCTCTATGACTATTAGAAAATTTATACTGAATTTGTCCATCCTTACAATAATATGGTCATCTAAAGTAAACTAAGCAGTATTATAAACCCTATAAGGTCCTGTGATTGCGGTGTAAGTAGTATCCTATTATACCTAGAAAAGAGGATAATTACTAAAGCCACCGCCATCCTAGTAAAGTCTTTGGAGAACTCATCTATATTAGGGGGTAGGTTAGTATTATAATAAGAAACTATATTTAGCTTAAGGGCTACATTAATAAGTCTGTAGGCTGAATTACTCTTAGGTATAAGGAACTATTTATTTCTATATAGCCCCCTCCTAGGCTCCAGGACTTTGGTCTTTAGCTACTCCTTAAGGATCTAGATTATAATAGGCTTTAGCACCTTTAGAATTAGAATGTTCTTTTCTTGCTATGGTTTGTGAGGTATAGTCTGGATCTTAATTAGTAGAACTACCTAGGGTATTACTGTCCCCTTCTCCTTAAAATTCCAGGCTAGCGTGGCCTCCTAAGCAAAGAGAATCTCTGTAAGGAACTCCTTTTCCTATAGCATGATATCAGATCTAATCTTTAGCCTACCTAGCTATTCTAGAGTGAGTCTTAAGCCTCTTATAATGCTAGACATGACAGGCTTGATATATTTCCTGAATAGGGTAGCTAGTAGATCTACTCCTTAGGCGCTATTCCCTTTTAAGGTTTTAAGTACTGCTGCTTTCTAATCCTTCTCCCCTAGTGGTTCTGTGCCTGTAGGGGCTGCTATATTTACTAGCTAAATCTTCACAGCCTTATATTTATATATTATATTAATGTAGTATTATTATTAGAGGGTTATAAGGTTAATTCTCTAAGATACCTAGATAATAGTCTTCTGTATCTACTTCCATAATTCCTACCTATTATAGGCTAGGAAATACTACTTATGCTTACCTCCTACCCCTTAGAAACTTATGTCCTGCCTAGATACTAGTTCTATTGCCTCCACCACTCTTCCTAAGCTTATATCCTACCTAGACACTAGTTCTATTACCTCTACTACTCTTCCTGAGCTTATATCCCACCTAGACACTAGTTCTATACTCCTATTCAACCTCTTAAAAGCTTGTGTCTACCCCAGACATGAGTTCTGCGCCACCCCATTAATATAAACTCTACTCACCCTAACTCTCCCTCATAGATCCTACTATTAGCTAAGGCCTAACCTGCTACTAGCCTTAGCACCTAGTTTTCCTCCTTATTATCTGGCCATAATATGGCTACCCTTCTCATCCTTAAATACCGTAACATTTCTCTTTAATATATATTATATAGATTTCTAATAAGGGTTTCAGCTCTTTCTTTAGCTTTATATATATTTTAGCCTTATTATCTACCTTAAGGGTGAGATATTTAATATATCTTTTAGTAATAATCTATTAGATTATCTACTAGATAGCTACTAGGCCAGCTTCCTAATAAAGATACTACTTTATCTAATCTTTATATTAATCTTATTTATCTTTATATATAGTTATATTATTAGGGGTTAGTTATATAGATATTATTAGTATAGGGGTTAGGGTTAGTAATTAGTTTACTTATAGCTACTACTTAGTACTAGTAATCTTATCTTAATTATCTTAGTTATTCTTCTTCTATAGCTCCTCTCTCTAATTAGCTAGAGAGATACTAGGGTTAATTAGATAAATAGGTTCTATTAGGTATAATACCCTACTAAGGAGTATATCTTTAACTTTATAGCTTTAAGCTAGTCTTATAATATGTAGGTCCTAGTCCTACTAATTATTAGCTATATTAAGGGCAATAAGGATCTTTATAGTAGTACTAGTAGGTAATAATTTAGTATAGTATTCTATATTAGTATGTTAGGTTAGGGGTAATAGTGGTATTAATATAACCTTACTCCTTCTAGATTAGGTAATTTAATAATAAGATATCTTAGTAGGAGATAAAGGAGAAGAGCACTAATTAAGGGGTGTATAAAATAATTAATTCTAGGTATCTTAAGTATAATCTAGGCTATAACTATTAGAAACTGCTTTACTATTATAAGTTTAGAAATTACTAGTATTTTATATATAAAGTAAAAAGTAATAAAGGTCTGATTCTTTCTAACTATAGGCTATCTAATATACCTTTTATACTACTAAAATAGGGGCTATCTAATGATATCTATATACACTAATATTAGGGGTTAGATCCTTCTAGAGTAGCAAGATCTGATGCTGTAAAGGGAAGGTTAAATTAATATGGAAAGAATAAGTGAGAAGGGAAGAATAAGCAAATCATCCAAAACAGGTAAGTGGTAAGTTATATCAACACATCTCTCCAGCTACAGCAAACGCGCTGGGCGCGAATGATTTCCACAGGATTATTCAGCTGCAGGATCATATGCTCGGCAAGCTCATAGATGCTGAAAGTTTGCTCGGCAGATGATGGCATTTCCAGGACTTCCGCGTGATGTACATTATTCATATATGTACTGGTAGGTACATAGGAGGCTCCAGTCTCTTCGGGCGCAATTCCACACTTAAGTATCAGTGCAGGGAGGGTTCTATTCCCCTTTTAACGGTCATTGACTCATTACCTCAAGCCGCCATCAACCACGTCTACCAGCGGATAAAAGCCAAGCCGAAGGAGTGTGTTAAGACCAAAAAGGTGCCCGATCACCAATTTTCCATGTCCACAGCATGTTATTTCCGACCGAGTGTGACAATGGACAGTCTGGCTAACCAAGTTTGGCGCCGAGAGCCGGAAGACCAGGGCTAAGCCAAATTATGCTTAGTGCGTAGTAGTGTGCCCTGATCCCAACTCCGCCTCCTTGGGTGAGTCTGCTCATTGGCTGCTCCTGGCCCAGTCCCGCTTCATCCAATCAAACCAACCAATGGTCGGATCTGTACCTAAGGCGTTCCCAATTAGGGAAAAGTCAAGCGTCTTGGCAAAAGCCCGATAATTCCACCTAATACTAATACTTGGCACAGCTGAGAACATTCGACGTCGATCCTCGCCTGCGTCGTCATCTTCAGAAAGAGAGAGCGGCCCTCTCTTCTCATCTCTTGTGTCAATTCTTATCAGCATCCATCATGCTGAAATCCTCAATCCGTCCCAGCAATCATCGCCGGAGATGATACTGCACTTATTACGCCCTGCATCACCTCTCTAGCCGAGCGCTTTGGCGATGTCCTCGTTTTGGCTACCTTCCGACACCGCCGTTGGTTCAGAGCGCATGCTCTCCAAGCATGTTCTGGGGTCTCCAGAAGAAGCTGTCCGATGTCTGGCTTCAGCTTACGGGTAGGACCAGTACCCCTGGTATGAAAGGAGGGGTTATCTAGGATATTCTGTTGACCACTTTCCCTATATTTCAGCTCGCTATCTCCAAACTCTCGACCCATCTCAGTCTCTTCGTCATGCATCCCCTCGTCCAAACCCCGGGTGGCGCCCGTTCGCCTTGCGCCCGACGTATCTCTCCATTCTCGGTCTTCTCATGCTGACAATGTTGGCGATACTTGAGGCACTACGTCGATATACCGATCGCTATGGGGGACTCGTCTTCTACCAGGATACCACGAACCTTTCCGACGCCGCCACATTTGCTTACAACTACGTGCCCATTATTGTTTCTCTGATACTCGTCACATTGTGGTCTTTCATCGACTTTGACGTTCTGCGCCTTGAGCCGTATTTCCAACTTTCTCGCCCGGAGGGTGCTCCAGCCACGACATTATTCATCAATTACAACTTCGGTCAATCCTTTCTGACCCCACTGACTTCGGCCAAGAGGGGTCACTGGGTTGTGTTGCTCGTATCACTTCTCACGGTGTTGATGCGCATTTTCCTCCCCGCTCTGCAAAGTGCAGTCTTCGAGTTGAGAGAGATAAGCGTTTTGAGCGATGAAACCATGCGAACCTGGCCGGACCTTGTTGATATCACTAGCCAGGCTCGGTGGATTACCGCACAGGAAAAGAACAATTGGGATTCGGTTCTCGCGTCGGATGGCAGTTTCTTTCAGAGGACTCGCTCTGCCAAGTACGCCGTGGCTCCAGTCGAGATTCCCACGGATGACTCCCGCGAAAGCACGGTGTGGACGTTGAACCAGACCATATACTGGTCAGAACTTTCCTGCCAGGATGTCATGGTGAATGACAATATGGTAGTCACCGCGAACGAGACGACGGACGAACTGCCTATCATCTCATGGAACGTCACGGGGGTCCAACTTCAGCAACCCAAGGACCAGGACCAACAGTGTACCCTGGATTTTCAATACAGCAACATCTTCTTTCCTTCAACCGATTATCTTCAGATTCGCTACTGGGAGCCAGTCTGGACGGACAACGCCTTCCAGTCATTTACCGCCAACGGCTGCAATCCATTTGATCTCTATGGCATACTCATTGCTGTCAACGCCACGCGCGCCTCAGACAACGACGCGGATGACATGTCACTATCTGGAGTCACATTCACATCTTCCGCAACGCTCTTTGCCTGCAGCATCGACTATCGCAAGGCTGAGGCACAGCTCAAGCTTCATGCGAACAGTTCCATCACCTCTGTGGCCATGCACCCAGGCACTACCACCCAGTTAACCAATGATCAGTTCAACATTAATGAGTTCCAGGGCTTCTTGTCCCATAGAGCCCCTTATACCAGCGACATGCTCTTCTTTCGGATCAACGAGACCAGTGGCGAACGCACAGTGACGGAGTTGCCAGTCATCAGTCAAGAAATAGGTGATTTGGAACCCGTCGTGGTACTGGACTCATCAGAGGTCATGACGAAAGAGGAGTTCGAATCCAAGGTTACGCGAGGCGTCAAACAGACATTTGTACTTACCATGGGTCGACTCTTCAATCTTGACGAAGCCCCGGCCGTCGTACCGGCGACACGGCTCACCCGACAAGTCACGATCGCTGTGGTCGATTTCGCAGCTTTATGGTCCGAGGTCATTCTTGGACTGGGCGTCGTCATCACTGTGGGGTTGTTATATGTGTACAAAAACCGAGATAACGTACTTCAAAGCGACCCTTGCTCCGTTGCAGCCATGTGTAGCATCGTGACAGACCTGTTCGGACCCTCCAACATCCTCGCAGATCCTCGGTTTGACTTTCATCAGTATTCCACGCGCCAACTCCGTCGGCTTCTTCGAAATTGTTGGTTGCGCTGGGAACCTGGCCCGGGCCCGGATGGGAGACGCCTCGCGATCGTTACCTCCGACGGCTCTCCGATTCAGTTGGACGACCAGATGCGCAAGCGCGCCGATCCTATGCCACACTTTCTCGTTATCCCTTTCTTCATCATCGAATTCCTCCTGCTCGCCGCGGTTATCACAGCCATGAGCTTAGTGATTGCTTCACTGACGAGGGATGGCAAGTTTCGACATCTTACGCAGTCCGACTCGAGCTTCTTTCAAGTGATTCTGTCAGTTCTACCGTCCATGGTTGCTTCAGCCGTGGGTTCTCTCTGCACCTCCATCCACCGCAATATCAGTATCCTTGAACCTTGGGTGCAGCTTCAGCGTGGTAGGGCTACGGCCCAGGCTTCCTTGTCAATGAACTACTCCTCGCAGACGCCATTGGCAGTGTTGGTGAAAGCGGTTCAAAATCGGCACATTTTGTTGCTCCTGATATCTGTGGCGTGTGTCGCCAACACGGTTCTTACGGTCGTTGCCGGTGGCTTATTCACACAACAGATGACTAGCTCCTCTCTTCCTACGTCGTCACTGGTCACAAACTATAGCAATTCTGTTTTTAAGCAAACAGATTTTGCGGCGGACTTTACTGAATATGATATCATACAGACAAGTATCACCACAGGAGTGTCGATGCTCCCCTGGACGAGTGCCAACCACTCTTTTGTTCCCGTTGCGATCAAGCATCCGGATCCTGATGCACTGTACGGGGCCAACACGTTGGGCATCGGAGCGGACCTGACATGTCAAGAGTTGTCGATCGCCGATAGTCTGGTTGAGAATCCTCAGAATGGATCTGCTTATTGGGTGTATCAGACATTTGATGATCCCGATACGCACTGTAAAGTCGACATGACCCCGCTGCAGCATCCGCATGAGGATGTTACACTTTCCATTCACTTTTTGTCTCCTGTGGCTACCGAAGAGGAAACTTATGATTGCCAAACATCCACCGTGGTGGTGCTGGGTCGGTGGAATTACACAGCCGGATCGGCCGTCACCAGACACAACACTATTGCCCTGCATTGCGAACCAAGAATACGGTTGGAGAACTACTCGATCATTTTCGATACGAAAGGCCAAATCCAAGACTTGAGTCCGATTGCCGGTACAAGTATGACATCTGGCCCCATGTACGACAATGCGACCGTCAGCTTGGGACAATTCAACAAGGTCTTTGCTGCCATTCCGCAGAGCTACATCAGCAATTCGACTTATGATCGTCAAACATACATCACGTCGTACGACTGGGCTGGTTTCCTAGTTGCACGTTTGTACAGGCGTCGAAAGCCGGAATTTACTACCCTCAATCCCCATGACCTGATGAAGATGTCCAAAATCGTATATCAGTGGGTTTATAGCACTTACTTTACTATCTGGAGGGAGATTTACCTCCAACCGCTGGACAAGCCATACGCCGCTCCGAACTCGACGGTGATCTACAATACGTGGACTATGGTACCGTCCGGCCCTTCTCTAGCCATCGCCTTGGTGGTCATCGCCCTCGATACCTTGATCGTCCTCATTGTCTTTGGCGCGCGCCGAGGCCGCTTCAAGGGCCCGCGCGTGCCCCGATCCATTGGCTCAGTAATGCCCTGGATTGCGCACAGTCGCATGCTCGACGATTTCCGTGGCACCTATTTTTGGACAAGCGTCCAGAGACGGAACCACCTCGATCGACTGAACAAACGGTATGGGTTCCGCATGTTCCTCAATGCGGATGGTCACTGGCGCTATGCGGTGGACGAGGAACCGACAGAGGACAAATGCGCCACAGGGGAAGGCGAGGATGGGCTCAAGATGTCGGGCGCTATCCAGCTGCGCGAATTGTCGACGAGCTCGCAAGCAAGTCCAGAGGCAACACGCCCTGAGGCGACGGACCCGACGACCCGGGAGGTCGATCGGCAGGAATGATGATTTATGCTCACGATCTGTTCAATGTATCATATTGGTAGGGAGGGTATATATGGAGCTGGAGAGATTTAATTAAGACGAAATATGCCTATTTTCAATCACCCTGCAACTGTAATTGCCAAGGACACGTAGTAAGCCGCTTTATATTGTAAGAGCAGCTAAAAAAGGACAGTTGAACAGTCAATTCCAGTAAGTTGACTCGGATCAACGCCGCCGTACTCCGCACAAAAGCTTGATCGGCGATATGCCCGAACCCCGCAATATCCAGCATCACCACCATACGCCGGCATACCAGGTACGGCGTACAAAGATGGAGACTCAAAAGATTGAGGTTCTCCTTTACGGTCTAGGAGCGTAAGTCTATCCTCGAACACAGAGAGAATATTGCGGATTCACACGCCCCAGTATCGGCTCCTTCTACGCGTTCATCCTACAACGCAGCAACCGCGTGCGCTTAACGGTCGTCGCTCGATCGAACTACCAAGCTGTTGTCAAGAATGTACGCAGCTTATCGAGATACTGAAGGCCGTATTACTGAATGCTGAATAGGGCATCTACATCGACAGCGCGAACCACGGACAACACCGTTTCCATCCCGACCTGGGTAGGCTCGACGACATGGGTCATCACGAGAAAAGATAAACTCTAACATCAACAGTGATCAAATCGCCCGCCGAAGCGACGCACCCATACCGCTACGTCGTCTGCGCGAACAAGGCGATCGATCAAGACGCCGTGGTCGAGCAATTGGCGCCCGCGGTGGACGAAACCACCACCTTTGTGATCATCCAGAACGGAGTGGGCAACGAGGAGCCGTTCCGGCGGGCGTTTCCGCGCTGCTCCATCCTGACTTGCGTGGTATGTCTCCACCAGCCTCTCGTGCCTTATCCTTGTCTGGTGGTCGCTGATAGCGTGCTAGACGTGGGTGGGCGCAACGCAGACCTCGCCCGGGGTAATCACGCACATCAACTCCGAAGACCTGCAGATCGGCCTCTTCCCGAATTTCTCTCTCGACGCCTCGCTTGAGAAGTCCCGGCTGCAGGAGTTCACCTCGTTCCTGGCGGACGGGCGGACCAGATTCCAGGTCCGGGACGACATGCAGCTGCCCCGGTGGGAGAAAGTCGTCTGGAACGCGGCGTGGAACGCCATCACGGCGCTGACGATGGTCGACACGCAGACGTGGCTGCGTTCTTCTACGCAGGCGACGCCGCTGACGAGGCGGCTGATGGGGGAGGTGATCGCTGTGGGGAGGGGGTGTGGCGTGGACATTGACGAGGGGCTTGTGGACCGGCTGCTGGAGAAGATCAATGCGTTGCCGGGGATTGGGAGTAGCATGCAGACGGACTGTAGGAATGGGAGGCCGATGGAGATTGAGGTTATACTGGGGTATCCGTTGCGGAGGGCAAAGGAGTTGGGGATTGATACGCCGGTTCTGGAGACGCTGACTTGCTTGTTGAGGGCGGTGGATGGGCGATTTCGCTGAATAGGACCGCTGCACTACCGCCCCGGCTTTATTGAGGGATACCGTAACAGGGGTTCATGTGTTGTGTTGCCTGGTTGATTGCCTGGATGGAAGTCACATCTAGTCACCGACTCAGGTCAACGCCTTGATACACCAGGTGAGTAGTTTAAGCGTACTCAGGTTCTTCCTTGAGATATGCCTTGGTTGATACCTGAGTGGTCTGGGGTCTGGGTGATTGACGACTTTGTCTTAATGAATCAGTTAGAGATGTTCATTGCACAGACTCCAATGACGGCCTTCTGCATGGCCTCCAAATATTGCCGGCTTGATATCCACACTATGGTTTCCGGGCCCAAACAATATGATACCGCATCTCAGTCCTGTAGGTCATCATGCCATTCAGTGCATGATGAAACAGGTTTTCCATTCTTCTTCGGAGAAATCGATCTCCTGGGGACTAGGCGCAGATCCTGTCAGCGTGTATTCCTTATCCCCAGAGCCACATACTTTGCTTCCCTCTGCCGCATGTCGATGATCGAGAGGATATTCTGCGCTCCTTTTCTCCCCAGCTCTCTGTCTGGATTCGACAGTCCGATGATGAAATCAACCGTCTCATGATGGATATCGACCATCCCCGCCGCCCGCAGGTAATCGCCCAGACGCGCCCCAACCTCGATGTTCTTCAGATGCCTCGCCACCAGATCGTAGAAGGCCCGAAGTACTTGGCGCGTGGGTCATGGAGTCGCTTTCCGCTCCCTTCAAAGAGCTGGATCCAGCCGCCAGGCTTGACGCCGGATACGAGCCGGTGCAGGATCCGAGTCACTTCCTCGTCCGAGAACAGCACGAGAAGGAGCCGCTGGTGGACCAGGCCGAAGGAGTTGTTCCACTCCTCTGGGAAATGATCCAGCACGCTACGCACCAAGGTCTTGATTTCTGGGGGGAACGGGTCCTCAGGACGCTGCAAGACCGGCCTGGCAATGATATCAGAAAAGGAACACGGTCTTTGGCTCGGGAGTGGTCGTGCCAACGTACAGAAGATCAAACCCGACGAATTCTGTCCAGAAGCCTTGATGATTGATACGCAAATTAGCGGAAGTCACCCAATGCACCGGGCCCTGACTTACCGTCAGCTGTTGCTGAATCACGCACTCGCTGACCAGGCCGGGCCAGATCAATCGGAGCTGTGACCAGTCCGTTACAAAAGGTTTCGATGATCTCATGGTGGACTCGCAGGCGACTAACTTCCTCCTTTGTCTCCTCAGGGTCTTGACTACTATAGATCTTGGATGCATCAAGACGGAGCTCTCGCCTATGTGGGATGCTGAGATGATCAGGGCAAGCTTCAAGGTCAGCGGATTGAGTTGGGAGAGGTGGAGGAACACAGCAGACAATGCTGTCCTAGTGCCAGCGATGTAGTGGCCGAGGTGTTGATTCCGCTGGGGGCCAGCAACCCGCAGTTGTGGCCTTTGTGTGGATGTCGAGTCTTGCCAGTTCAGCCGGGGACGTCCTGGCCGACTTCACCGACGGCTTTCATGCCTTTGTATCTGCCACAGAGATCAGTCTATGGCAGGTGGTCCCCGCCTTTCTGATGCCGTCGCTCTTCATGCCTCTAGCCCGGATTCCTCGCACGGGAACAGGAAAGATCGATCGTAGGAGCATTCGTCATGCCTTTCTGAGTCTCCCAGCCGGTGCGCTGGATCCAATTCGCCGACGGAAAGCCCCGAAAGCAGAGCCAGCGACGCCTGCGGAAGATTTGGGCAGAGGTGCTCCATCTTCCGCTGGAAGAGATTAGCTCCCACGACCACTTTTTCCATCTTGGCGGCGACTCGATCGATGCCATGAAGGTGGCTGCTTTGTCCCGGGCTGATGGAATTGCCGTCAGCGTTAGCGACATCTTTACCCAGCCGGTGTTGACACTCCTCGCCAACACGGCAGCTCCTTTGCCCAGGGCCCCGTCAGACAGTTGGAGCCGTTCAGTCTGTCGAGGGTGGACGCGGACCCCAAGTCTTTCTCCGATCTCGTATGTCGTGAAGGGATTTTGCCTTGTCGAGTGCTCGACGCTCTCTCTGCAACAGAGGTCCAGGAATTCTTCATCCAAAGGAACACGGTGCGCTATTATAATTTCCGTCTGCGGGGCACAATCGATGTCGATCGACTCCGTGCCGCATGTGATGAGATGATGACCCGGTTCAGTATCCTGCGCACCGTCTTCCTGGACCGTCACGTAGCTACGAGCAGGTCGTCCTACGAGGGGTTCCCCTGCCATTCGTGCATCACTCCTTTGGCCAGGATTTCGTCTCCCAAGCCCAAGCTCTGTGGGAAGACGATCGATCCAGTTTTGATATTGCTCGTTTATCCTGGTATCCGGTTCCGACAAGGACCATCTGTTTACGGTTCGCATCTCGCATGCGCAGTGGGACGGCGTGTCCATGCCGCTCCTCTTCCAGGATCTGGCTGCCGCGTACAATGGCGTCGCCTTGTCACCACCTCGGGCTTCTCAGACGTCCTCTATCAACGCGCCGTGCAGCGAGGCGAGGCAGGGTTTAGCTTCTGGCGAGAATATCTGGATGGTGCTGTGATGGCGGTCCCTTCCCACCCGTGCAGGCCACGGCCCCCTCGGCAGTGCAACCGCAGGATTCTCGGACATTATGGCACGTCCAGCGAACCGCATTACCGTCTCTCCCCGCGGGGTTCACCATGGCCACCCTCGTCATTGCCGCCTGTGGATTCCATCTCGCGCGCCTGATGTCCTGCACGGATGTCACCTTCGGCCAAACTGTCAACGGGCGTAGCATGCCCCTCGAGAATATCGATGTGATCCTAGGACCCTGCCTGAACTTCATTCCATTGCGACTCCGCCTTCAGCGCGCCTGGACAGTGCGGGATCTGCTCCAGCACGTTCAGGACCAGTACGTGCGCCCACTCCAGTACGATTACATGGGGCTCCGGGATATTGTCCGGCATAGTACGGACTGGCCAGCGGGCACTGAGTTTGGGCTCATCGTGCAGCATCAGAACATCCAGTTGCAGCACGACCTTCCCTTGGAGGGTGATGTCCAGGTCGAATACTCGCTGTTTCCGCAGTTCAACCCCGTACGGGAAGTCTTCGTCTTCTCCGAGCCTCATGAGACCCATTTGGAGATGCAAATCTGCGCCAATAGCCGGATTCTGTCGCCAGATGCGGGCACTGCGTTGGTCAAATCCCTTTGCGAGATCATCGAGCTGTTCGCCGACAATCCGGATATGCGCCTCGCCAAGGAGATGGATTCGGTCTCGGTATAGTTAGATGGATATAAAATATTAGGGATGGAAACTTCATTTCACCAGATGCACAGATAGTGACTTGTTTAGAAAGAATCAGACCTTATTGAATTTCTTAATCACAAACAGATTACCCAAGTTCCAGAACTTAGTATGGTTTTAGATTTTGAAATATCCAAGCTGCTAACATTCCTTCCGTGTCATGTCAAACATGAGTATATCTTCTTCTCTTGATATGCGTCCGGACCCCACGCTCAAATACTTTGATTGATCCCACCAACGGAGACGGCGTCGGGGTGAGGTCCTTGCCTGCGTTCGGAGGACCCGGCCACACCTTGTTGCTGCACGATTCATCAAGAGCCGTGCATTTGTCCGACCAGATCTGGCAATGCGCCGACCCCGTTGGAGGCGCCGTGTTCCAGCAGACATCGGCTTGATCCCAGCAGTTCTTCGATGACTACGATTGTCAGTTCGATTCAACGGAAAGAAAAAAGAAAAGGGAACATACAGCCCAGCAGCCCTCTTCGTCTGTATACGACGGCACCTCGAAACCGCACCAGTTATCTCGGACCAGGATACACCCCTCTGGCTTGAGACCTTTGTTCTGGACCAGCATGGCCCGCTTGTTCCTGCAAACGTTGGTCGGCACTGACCCAGTCTTGCCAGCCTCAGCATTGGCCCCAGCCTCGTACACCGGCGGCCCGTACATCGGGTACGGCAGCGACAACGGCGTTTGGTAGATGTTGTACGTCATGCCGGGCAGACTCAGATCATACGTCCCCTCGCCAATCGTCACCGTCGCCGGCTTCGCCGTCCCGGTCGACTGCACAAACACCTGCGCACAGCCGACGTAGAACTGCGGATCCGGCGGGCTATCCTGCGCCGCATGCAGCGCCAGCAACTCCGGCCGCACCAGGTAGTATCCCGCCTCGATATCCGAGGGGATCTGCACGGAGATGTGCCCATTATTCTCGATCATCTTCTCCGTGCACCACTTGCCGCTGGCCGCGTCGTAGTCCGCCTGCCAGATCTTGAACCACCCGTCGCCGGCGGCGTTGTTGTCCGCCGTCGCGTCGGCGACTTTCTTCATGTAGACGGCGCAGGGGCCCTTGTGGCTTTCGTCGATGGAGCCCGGCTGCGAGTTGTCGGCGTACTCGCGGAATTCGAAGGTGAGCGTTGACGAGGCTTTGGCGGGGCAGACGCGCGCGACGCCTTTCTCGCCGTCGTAGCCTGCTACTGTCAGTCTGGTTGGAGAGAGGGGGGGTGAGGGGGGTGGGACGTACCGCAGGCGACGTTCTTGCTGGAGAGAGGCTCGATGGGGAAGCTCGCTTTGCTGGGGTTTTGGTTCATGCGGACACACACCCCGTCGCCTTGGCTCTCTCCGTCGACGTAGAGGGTGGTGAAGACCGTATGGGCGTGAGCAGATGCCGTGAGCAGTGCCAGCACTGCGAGGAGTAAATTTGTTCTATACATTTTGGATCAATAAAGGAATGAATAAGTGGGTAGACAGTAAAAAAAAAAGCAAAAAAGAAAAGAACTGCCTCAAGCAGATGAGAAGGAACCGAGAAGAAAACTTGCATCGATCGAGACAATCGACTTCCTATCTCCTTTAATACCCAGGACAATTAATGAAATGAATGACCCTTCAAACATGACCTCAGCCTCAACAACCGGCCAAGGGTCTTGGAGAGCGCTTAGGTTCGACCCTACAGTGAAGCGCCTGCACTGAATGGCTGGTGGAAATCAAGCAGGACGGACAACAAAGCAAGGGTCCACAATCCACTGCAGGGTTCTCAGTCAAGATCCTGGCGACATTCGATGGATCGCGTTTCAGAATTGCAGGTGGAGATATTCTCAAACACGCCTTCTTCTTGGCAGGTCCAGATGTGGCGATAGGATCCTTTTCATCCCTTTGTGTCCCTTGAAAATTGGTCAAGATTGGACACGCCAGATTTAGATGTCTAGAAAATTGCCTTTGGAATCAGCGGCCCTCAATTGAATCGTCAAGTTTGCTTCCGAGATACAGGAGACGCAGGCTCAAAAGGCCTCGTATCTACCCGACTAGGTATCGGCGTCGCCCAAACGGATGATTTTGCGGATCTCCTGTTGATGTGCGATCTTTGATTCTCTCTATGGCTATCTTGTTGCGAGACCGATTACATCTAGATCCGAACGCTAGTCGAGAGATCAATCAGCATATTCTTCCTTCGCCGCTTATCTCTCTGCTCACAGGCTCTACTTTCAATGAAGGAAAGGCACAGGCCTGATCTTGCTCAAATTCCGATTGAGATCATGTATGTACAAGAAAATCGATGTTCAATTGACTTTGAATCCTCCCGGACACAGATGTTGGAAGACGCCTTGAGGGTCATATCTTCTTGCGGTCCGCCGCAGAAAATCTTCCCATCCATCCCTGTAGCTCGCGATAGGATCCTGCCAGGATGCAGCATGGTTGAGGTCAATATAAGGATTGTAGGCGCGAGCTGCCTTCGCGGCGCTGATGATATTGTTGGAAAGTCGCTCGGCCGCCGCACTGACGATGGGATACTCCCGCGAATGGTTGAATGTGGCAGATAACAGTGCCAGGACGAGCCCTTGCCGGGGTACTGTTAACCCCAGGACATTTCCACCTTTGATCGCACTCTGATATGCTATGGCGGGGACAATGGGCTCAAGGCTAATGGTCCACTGGATGCTGGGAATAGCCGATACTTCGGCGGTGCTCGCATTCCATATTTCAAAGACTCGCTTCAGCACGCCAAGATCGTTCTCAAAGGTGACTCCGAACGTGATTTGTCTAGCATCGCTGTGAGCAAGTGATTCGCACTGTCAGCAATGGTGATCGACGTACTGACGTGAGTTCGGTGACACCGAACCTGCCCTGACCGAGAGAGCTTCCAGTGATGACACTTGAGTATTATTCATCATCTGAGGCTGGATAGAGGTGAACTGTCTGAAAGTGGCTGGATTCTCCTCGGGACTCGCGTACGCAAATTGGTTCATCAGTAAAGGACCCGTGGCCGGGGTGAAGGCGAAGTTGTGAATGAACCCAGCTCTGACATCGTAGTGGGGATCGGATGTGAACCGATAAAATGCCTCCAGCTGTTTGTCAAGTGTGCTCACTGGGTAGTAAATGTCCCCTCCCCATATTTCACCGAGTGGAAACGTCCTGAAGACAAAGTTGGTCACAATCCCGAAATTGCTTGATCCTCCTTTCAGGGCCAGCCACAGATCGTGATCATTGTCCTTCGTCGCGTTGACAATCCTGCCATTCGCGAGGACAACCTGATACGCGACAACGTTGTCACAGGCAAAACCAACCTGGGTCGCAAAGTAGCCGAAGCCACCTAAGTCTGGTCGGTAAAAGGATCAATCCATCTTATAGATTGACTCACCACCCAAAGTAGTCCCTCCCACTCCAACGGGACTATCTCTGCCTCCTGGTACAGACACTCCGATAGTGTCGAGGGCTGCATACACCCCTCCCCATCGCTGTCCAGGCCCGACTGACACAAGACTTTTGTCCGCGGAGGGAACAATCCAGTTCAAAGCACTTAGGTCAATAGTCACGCCGTCTTGAATGTTCGCAATCCCAGCAATTGCTCCATGACCACCGCTGCGAACTGCAAACTTGCAGGACTTGGGAACAAGAACCCGCAGCGCTGTGGAAACATCCTGAGCGGAGGTCGCTGACAAAACGCACGAGGGGCTTATCAGCTGCTCCTGCTGGGACCAGTACGAAGTGACCGATGACTCATATGCCGTGCTATTCGGATATGAGACCTTGGTGCCCAAGATAGTCGTCAAAGCCTGACACTGCGATAGAGTCAGTAAAGAACTGGAGTTGTCAACAATGAGGTTCGGATCGCCTACGCAACTGGATGTTGCAAGTGCAAATGAGGGTAGAAGGACGATAGCAAATAGAATGCTCCCAACATCCATTTTGGCGCGTACAACCCTCATGTGTAATGGTGGAGTGGGAACTGCAGTTGCAGAGGAGAGAGAGGGGGAAGATGGAAGGGAACTGGGGTCAGACACATGGGCCCCCTGACAGACAAAGAACGAAGAACTCTGTTAAATAAATATTAACCTAGTCTGGTTCTTTTCCGATCAGCATCTCGGACTTTCTTTGCTTCATCAGAGGCTTTTCTTTTTCTCGTATTCATCTTTTAGCCCTCCGATACTAACGGTCTAACCCCAGCCTTGCAGAATGGAAATCAACCAGCTACCCATCATCACCGACAATGCTACCAATCCCATCGATTCAGCCATTGGAATCTGTGTACGTCGCATCCCTTGAGCCACTCTGCTAACTCACTAACCACAACTGTAGTGCCTCGCTCTATCCACCGTCCTTGGCGATAAAGTCTCTTTCCCCAGCACCAATCGGTATAGATCATGCATCGACTCCTATTTCTCGCAGCAAAACTCCAACCTTCAGCCTGTTTGCATCGTCTCCCCTACCACCGTAGAAGAGGTCTCGACCGCCATCACCAGCCTCACAAGCACCTCCGCCGCACTGGACGGCAACTGCCAATTTGCCATCCGCTCCGGCGGCCACACCAGCTTCGGCGGCGCCTCCAACATCGCCAACGGCATCACCATCGACCTGCGCGCGCTCAATTCCATCGAAGTCAGCGCTGATCGCTCGACCGTCTCGGTCGGCGTGGGCGCGTCCTGGGGCAACGTCTACGCGTTTCTCGACCCCCTGGGTCTTTCGGTGGCGGGTGGGCGAGCCGCACAGGTCGGCGTTGGCGGGCTCACCATCGGCGGGGGCATCTCCTACCACTCGCCGCGGTACGGCTGGACCTGCGACACGGTGTCGAACTTTGAGGTCGTGCTGGCGAACGGGACGGTCGTGCAGGCGAATGAGGAACAGAGCCCCGACCTGCTTGTGGCCTTGCGCGGCGGGGCGGCGAACTTTGGGGTCGTCACCAAGGTCGATCTTCGGGCGTTTGCGCAGGGCCCGGTCTGGGGCGGGAGTGTCTACTATACCCTTGACACGATCGACGAGCTACTGCGGGCCTTTGCGGCCCTGAACTCGGCGGAGGAGTATGATGAGTATGCGTCGTTGATCACCAGTTTTGGGTTCGCGGGGGGGAAGGGCGCGGCCGTGGTCAATAGCGTCGTGTATACCAAAGGTGAGGAGCACCCGGCTGTCTTCGAGCCAATCATGAAGATTTTATCGCTGTTCGACACGATGCGTGTGGCGAGCATGCATGAGATCTCGCTGGAGCAGGGCTCTTTTGCGCCGAATGGGAAGAGGTAGGGGATTATCTGTTCGCAACTACGTGCAGCGCTGACGATGGAAGACAATTGACTGCCGTGACGACGCATGCTTCGACCGTCCCTATGCTCAACGCAACATATCTACGGTGGAGTTCTAGTCTGGCCGCCATCGAAGATGTCCCTGGCATTGTGTGGTCCATCTCGTTGGAGCCGCTGCCACCCGCGATCTACTCTCGGGCTCCTACGACGAATTCTCTGGGTCTGTCGGAGGCTTCAGGCTCCCTAGTCGTCACGCTCCTCAGTGCTACCTGGGAGGACGAGGCGGATGATGCGAAAGTTGAGGAAGCCGCGCGCGCACTCTTTGATGCAATTGAAGACGACGCGCGCAAGTCGGATGCCCACGAGCCATACATCTATCTCAACTACGCGGCCGAGTGGCAAGATCCGATTGCTACCTACGGAAAGACGAGTATCGAGAAGCTTCACCAAGTGAGCCAGGCCGTGGATCCAAAGGGGGTCTTCAAGAACAATATGCCTGGTGGTTTCAAGATTCCTGGCTAATGTAGAGACGGTGATTGACCGGATTACCAGTAGCTAGTCGTATCATACTCCTACTCATACTCCATGGAAGAATGACCTAACCTTCAACTCTTCACACTTTTCTCCAGTTCGTCCAATCCCTGCCCGTTGCTCATCATACGATCCTAACCTTGTTAGACCCAACACGCATCTCGGACGAATGTAAACTCACCAGCAACCAGGACGGACACCAGCGCGAAAAAATCTTGATTGCACCACTATAGGGTCCCTTCCAGACCAAGCCCCCGTTGGCCCCCAAAACAACCTCTACAATCGAGTTTGCAAACTCATCAACCGAGCACCCCTTGGGGCCCGCCTGGCCCGTCGCCCACTGCGAGATGGTCTCCTTGATCGCCGCATAGCGCGAGGTCGCAGGTAAAACCACGCGGGGCTCATTGTCATGGAACGAGGTGGTGACGGTGCCCACCATCAGGCAGACAACACTGACGCCCAACGGGGCCAATTCTAACCTGAGGGTTTCCGAGATCTGCACGACGGCCGACTTGGATGACGAATATACCCCTGTAGTCATAAGCAACCCTCCCTTCCCTATTTATCCCGGACAGAATAAATACGAAAGCAATGTATTAGGGAAACATACCAATCCAAGGCGTGTTCACCGCGGCCCCCACGCTGCTGACATTAACCACTCGCCCCCGATTGCGAATCAGCAGGTCCGCGAATCCCTGGATCATCCGCAGCACCCCCCACACATTCGTCTCGTAGACCTGCTTCGCGTGATCCAGGTCCGCGTCTAGCAGGGGGATGGTGTACCCCGCTCCGGCGTTGTTGACCAACACATCCAACCCCTGTCCGTGGTCCTGCACGGCCTTGACGGACTCGGCGACGGAGCCCGGAGAACTCACGTCGAGCTGCAGGAGGGTGACGTTGGAGAGGGTGGTGAGGGGTTCGGGGATTTTAGCGAGCGAGCGGGCGGTGGCAAAGATGTGGTGGCCCTTTTTGGCGAGGGAGAGGGCGAGCGCCGCGCCGATGCTGTTGGCTGAGCAGCCGGTGATGAGGATGGTTTTGGTTTTGGTTTTGGGTGGCATTTTGATGGTGATGGTGATGTTTAGCCTTTTAGGTCTGGGAGAAATGAAGATGGGATGATGTTTGAGGTTGAGAGAGGGAGATCTTTGTTTATGTGAAGGGGAAGGACTAAGGACAGGGGTCTTTTGTTTGTACTACGGTAAGAGATGAGTACAAGGATTCTCTCTGACCCCAATCATTCATTACTTGAGGTCTCTCGACTGTACAGACTACAAAGAAAGAAGATCAAAGCATAAATCCTGAGAATGTCGATCCTAAACTGTAACCACGCTTGGCTTCTAGCTATAAACTATCGGACCTCCACAGATGGTGAGGAGGATTTTTGAATAGTATCACGCTGGGAATCCTGAGTGCTGTGGCTGCTAGTTCCAGACTACTGCATCCTACATATCTGCAGCTAATCTTAGCCATCACATCACATCCAGACCGTGCAACAGTGTCGCAAATAAATCAACATGTTTCTATTTTAATTTCCCCTTGAATCATGTCGGGGCTCCTCCGGTAGTAGTCTCTATGCCATGTCTACTTGCATCATCGTTGGCTCTAACCTGTCGAGAATCCTATCCGAATGGACTATCATCAGAATGTACTACCAATCTCGGGAAACTCGAATACGACGATGAGTGGGCCAGGAATGACAACTTGCAGGAGGACGGGCCGTTCTGGTCTGTCGAGTCATCTTCAGGCGACCTAATCTAGCGACAACACGGTTGAAAAGCTGTGAATGGATCGTCGCACTTGACAGGGACTCGATAATCATATTACTATTAACAGAAGGTATCCCCGAACAAGCTCCTTGTCCACATCCAACAGGAATATCATACAACGGAAAACTCCCGAATCTCCTGCTCAATGTTGACCTCACGAGAGATCCCCTTTCCCTGCGTCGACGGCCTTTCCGCCCCTCCTCCCTGTATCCGGGTGTTCGTTCCTGCATAAGGAAAGTCTCGCAGCTCGTAGTACTGTCCGGTCGTTTCGTCCAGAAGACGCGCTCGAGACGGTTTACCATTCTCTATCTTATCCATGTGGTCGACGGTGCCAACTGCGGAGCGGCCACCGCTAGAGCTTAGTCGTGAACGTAGAGTCTTGAACAGGGTAGATTCCAGGACGTGACTTTTGAAAAAGGTCGCGAAGAAGGGCATCGAACTGACGATGATGGCGACGTTGTTCTCGACATTTCTGGTACCGTCAGCAATTCAAATCAACGCGCAATGTCAATGGCTGTTTTTGAGAGCTCACACGCAAATGAAGAGCGCACTTTGAGTGAAGGTAGTATCAGTGGTGGTTAAAAGCCGAATGCGATAAACGAGGGCGATGACGCTGGCGACAATTCCCCTGCACGTTACTTAGTACACTTTGTCGTGCGGTAGGTTTTCAACGTACATCATGGCTGTCGAAAAGATGGCCAAGATTTGCCATCGCTTCTTGGGAGGAAGTTGGAGCTTGGAGAGAAGCGGGAGCGGCAGAATGAAAATGTAGATATCCAGAACCACAGAGAGCGTTCCCTGAACGACACCCCAGTATATCAAGTGCTCTGGTCTCCTGTTGACCAGCAAATCATCCCAGCTCTCTCCAACATGCGGCGCGGCAAAGTACGATTCCAGACCGACTCCGGGCCAGTATAGGACGAAGGTGAAGAGCAGACCGAAACGGATGGCGTATTTCATTGCTTTTTGGATGGTGAAGATCTGCCGACAGAGAAGGAAAATGGAGGATTTGGCGAAGAAGATGACGGGTCCAAGGAGGACGCCTTGGGCGTAGAGAATCTGAGGCCTCGCATGGTAAGCACTGGTTGCTCTCCATACCAGCTAGGAAATTGTCATGCCTTCATGTATCTCGCATCAAACCAGCAGGCGGGTATATCCCACTGGTGACGGGTGTATTTGAGAACTGGACGAGATCATTAATTCAAGTTGCAATGAATCCTCCTGAAGCAGTCAAACTGACTAGACAGAACCAAGCCATTGTATGTCGCGGAAAGCGTCAGCGCGATGACCACAAAGCCTACCCCAGCAGCTCGTCAATGTCTTCCATGAGCGCGATTGGAAGCGCAACGTACCGTCGGCCCAAGTCAGCTTCCGAAAGTTTGTGTACAGCCTCGCCGCTGTGAAAACCACCGCCCAAGCAAGCGTCACTGTTGTCACGGCGATGGTCGCACCGGCCAAGGACGGTGGGTTCACCAGGTTGGGTGTCTGGCCTGATGGAGGTTGAGCCGCGGGAATGGCGCAAAGATCCGTTCCTGGTGGGAGGGAAGACATGATGCGAATACAGGATGGAAACAGATCATGCTGTCTATCGAGCGGGAGTACAGAGATTGAGGTGTTATTTCAAACGATATGCTGTCGTGGTGACTTGACCGAGGCTGTGTGCTGCTCGCATTGCATCCGGGCCAGTGTTACCAATGCATTGACCTGCTGATATTGCTCTTTCTTTCAGGTTGAAGCAAGCTTCTCGAGTACAAAGAGATCAAGTTACTAGCTTTATAAGAATATCGATGACAGGTCTAGTTTCTGGTTTACGACCATTGTAATACGGCTTTTCCTTTGTTCTTCCAACTATATCACAATTATGCTTTGAGCTTGCTTCAGTTCAACAAAGGATCGATAAGTGTATGACGCGAAGGATAATAATGTGGAATTATCCCGAAAGCAAAATGCTATTATGTCTTCAGGCAACTTAGAGGTAAAGGGCCAGATGATCGCGGATCACACTTACTACTTGACACAACAGCATCGAATGAGCATCCATCAGAGGCAACGTGCATTCAGGTCCAGCCTTACGGCCGAATCCTCAAAGTCGAGCGTCGATGAAGAAGCTGACAGGGAGGTGTAGATACAAACTATTCTCTCACTGGTGGAGTTTCAATTGGACACTGTGGATACTGGATCGTCCTTTTAAACTGGTAAATGGACAGACTGAAGATAGGCAGGACGAGCAGAAAAAGCAAAGTGAGACCGGAATGTCACCCTCAGGCATAAGCTGCTGACTCGGGCGGAGTGTGTGGTGGTGGCTCGGACGTCGATCTGTCTTTAGCTGCGTCTGCACTCTGCAGAATTCCAATTGCCCATCAACCATCCCATTCATCAAGCATCATCTTTGTCATCTTTTCTCTAAACAATACAACCGTACCCTCGCGGGGTACGATGCTCGACCGCCACGTCCTCCACCGTTGGCGACTGGGATCTTCCAACCGACACTCCCATCTCTCCAGAATACACACCATAATCAGCTTGAGAATCGTGGCGGCGTAGAACCGTCCCGGACTAGGAATCAATCATCATGCATGTCAGCTTGATACTAGGTCTTACAATGAGGGGTTGGTTCCCCTCACCAGGCCGTGTTACCCAGCCCCCAAATTGGCCAGTCAACGCTAACATCTGTCATCGTCAGAGGGCTGCGCTCCGGTACCTCCAGAGGCACATCTCTCGCGCGTAGTTGCTTGTTTGCTCTGGCGAATCGAAAGCCGTCGAACTCTTGCGGATTCCGGTATCTGATCCGATCGCGCATCATCGCTCGTTGCGGGATACATACCCAGTCGCCCCCTGCGACTTCGAGTCCATCCGAAAAGACGAAAGGCGTCAACGCCTTCCGTCGGACAGTAACTGCCTCAATCAGCAAGGGCTGCCTGTACGACCCGCAGGGATTGTCAGCACCCACTTGCATCGGAGTTGGTGCAGCGAATCGATTCCCTCACAAAACTGTCGAGGAGCGGCATCTCCGCCACCCTCCTCCTGCACGAGCCGGCCAGGTATTGCTGGATCTCCGCTCGAAGCGGCTCAACGTAGTCGTTATGCAGACAGAGATCCTCAATGGCGTAGGTGGTGGTCTAGATTACCGCTAACCGATTAGCCTTAAATTCTCCCGTTGATCCGATAGTCAGGCTCTCCCTTGAAGGGCCTCACCATTGCCAGTTGGTGCACCGAGCCAAACCAGACCGCGATGATCTCGCCAACCATTCTAGTCGTGGACCATTGTACTTTTCGGGGCGACGTATCAATCAGCCACTGCATGCAATCCATCTGCAGGCCTGTTAGCCAAGCGACAAAATCGTCCTGAAGCCGAATCCAACCGGAGCATCTTCTTGAATTGAGCTGGTCGATTGGGCCCTCGTTGCTAACCGCTGCTCGACGATTGGCTCCAGATAGCGAAATAGTGTCCTAACGGCGTAGTGTTGTCGCGTCACTAGGTTCGCAACGGACCTTGGCTATAATTAGCTAGGCCAACTGACTGGTCTTGCATGCAAGTACCCACCGTCGGAGGAAACCTGGAGTGATGCGCAGAATTTCAGCGGCTAGGATAACTCTCTGCGGGAATTCCAATGCAGCTGCGGTAAACTCAGGATTCTGCGCTGCAACACAATCAGCCTGGCGGTATCTGACGTGCCGAGGGAGAGCTGGACGTACCAAGGTCCTCCCCGAAGAAGGCGAAGCAGTTGACCTTTGTGACGGTTCGCTTGATCATAGAGAACAATCTGCAATGCACAAAACCTGATGCAGTCAGATTGGAAACAAGCATAACCGAAGGGCTGCCCCACTTACCGTCGCTCCCAGGCGCTGCAAGCTCGTCTGCAATGGCAGTCTCGACGATTCTCTGTAGCTCAGGCATCAGAATAGGCAGATGAGCCGTTAGCCTGCTTCGCAAGGCACGGACAAAGCCGGTCCCTTCGACGCCTCGTTGATCCTGCCACTCAAAGCCAAACATGGTGTATTTGGGTTGTAGAATCTGCATCTGGTGTTACCTTCTGCTTCAAGGGGCCGACAGGGACGTACCTCTTTAGCTACAGCATGTAGTGACAGGTTCTGAAGCGGTGCATTGACCAGCTCCGTGATATGGTCGTTCGAGGTAATCAACAAGTGATCGTTCGATGGAGTAGATATCTTAAAGGGCTTCCCCTCTGCCTGTTTCAGTCAGAACGGCATCACGGCCTGAACAAGGAAGACTTGTTCACTCACTGAAAGATATGCCTTGTCAATGACATCTGGGCCCCGGGCCAGATACCACAGGCCGCGGATGCGTCTGAGACAAAATATCAGGAAGGTGACGAGGATCTCGAGCATGTTGGCTATAGGTCGATTGATCTCATTGAGGTATAATGCTCACCAAGATCAGATAACAGTCGAGGCGTCATTATATAGACCGCAGGCCGACTCGGATTCAGCCCATCTCGACAGAGCCCCTCTTACCGAGTCCACGTAGGTGTAAGCGATATATTGACATGGATTGGCGCTGCCAACACCACCGGCAATATGCACGATTATCACTGGCTAGAAAAGATGTGCCCTTCTTGTCGCTTCCAGTAGCGAGTACATAAGCCGAGCCTCGTCCGTACGTTTTCCTCGACCGGATTGTCGCCTCCAACTCATCATGCTTTCTGACGCAGTCTCTGCAACGATCGATTTGACCGGTCAAGGGCTTTCCTGGATAATCCAGGAGCAGCCAGCCCTGACGGTTGCATTTACTTCTGTTTGTGCTTTGGCTCTATGGCGAACTTGGCGGTTCACCATATTGCCTTCGTATTATCCTAACGATCCGAAGGAACTGCCGTACTGGATTCCTTGTAAGTCATCCCTTTTATCCCCTCCCCATTGAATCTTCACTAATCACGTCTAGTCCTGGGTACGTGTTCCCTCTGGCCTCGGCTACGTACTTGTTAATTTGCAACCAGGACATGGGGCGGCATTCTTCAGCAATTCCAATGCCCTTCTATCCAGAGCAAGGTGCGTCGCGATACTCAGCTAATGCACCGTAGCTCACCAAGTAGAAAATACTACAACAACATCCAAGATCCATTCGCCCTGACCATCGCCAATTCCGTCATCTACGTCATCACTAAACCCCAAGATGTCGCCGAGGCATACCGCAACACCGACACTCTCTCCTTCAACGAGTTCGTGCAAGCGATGATGCGCGCCTGCGGGAACACCGAGTCTTGCGTCAAGGCAATGTACAACCCCCTGTCCAAGGACAAGCCCGGTTTCCCCAATCCCCATGGCAAACCGCTGGCGACGCTGGCGCGCCAGATGCACATCCACCAATTGTATCCGGGGGAGAATCTGGACTTCCTGGAGAAGCAGTTCCTGGACTGGGTGGAGCCTCGGTTGACCATGGAGGGGCTGAAACGGGAATGTCCGTATGCGATCCCGTATGATCTTCCAATGGCTCAGAAAGAGGATGGGCTCGTCCTGCCGTTGATGCAGTGGTGCTCTGATTATTTCACTCGGGCCGGTCAGCGGGCATATTTTGGTCCGTCGCTGGACGGGATCGATCCCAAGCTGCCGCAGACGTTTATTGTTTTCGATGAGCTGAGCTGGCAGGTTCTGTATCAGTATCCGGATTATTTGGCGGGGGAGATGAAATCCGCGCGCAATGCCATACAGCGTGCGCTGAAGAAGTATATTCAACTGCCTCAGGAGACGAGGCAGGGGGATGCGTGGTTCACAAAGGCGATGGAGAACGAGATGCGTGCGTTGGGTATCAGCGAGGATGACATCGCGACGATGCTGGTGACGATTTACTGGGGGTATGGTTTCCCCTGCATTTTACTGATTCTTGCATCCCGGTCCGCTGACAGCCTAGGATCAACACCAACACGCGCAAGGCAGCGTTCTGGCTACTCACCTACATCCTTCACTACGGCCCGCAGCACTACGTCGACATCATCCGGGAAGAGACACTCCCTGCCTTCTCGCCTGACAAGTCAATCCCCGATCTGGACTACCTCCACGACAATTGCCCTCACCTCGACGCCATGTGGAACGAAACGATCCGTCTCTCCGCGTACTCCGCCTCGGTCCGCTTTGTCACTTCCGACACCATCATCGGCGGCAAGATCCTGCGCAAGGGAAACCGACTGATGATCCCCTACCGGCAACTACACTTTGACGAGACCATTTTCGGCGTGGACTATCCCGTGGAGGAGTTCCGGCACGAGCGATTTATGCAGAAGGGCCGGAATCTGACCCGGAGCGACAATTGGCGGCCTTTTGGCGGCGGAACGACGCAGTGCCCTGGTCGCTATGTCGCGAAGCGGTTTGTGTTGTTGTTTGTTGCAATGCTCTTGCGGCGGTTTGACGTGGAGCTGGTGACGGAGAGGATCCCCGCGGCCGAGGAAGGGAAGCCTGTGCTGGGGATTATGTCAATCAAGGATGGAGAGGATGTGTTGGTAAGAGTGAGGCCGAGAGTGATCTAGTGTAGTCGTATGGAGTAGAAGATACTCCTCCAATGAAGCAGCAGCTTCCTTGCTACGGAGTACATTCATGGTAGTCATGTATGAGTTGGCCAGCCTTTACCTCAAAGTGCACAAGACCAAGGCTCGGCATCTCTGTACCGATAGACTGTCTTCATGGCAAAATATGTTTCACCTCCAGCATGATCTGTCGTCTGTGATCTATCATCTGCCATCTGAGCTCAAACGTCACCCAAATCCACAATCGCTCATCTCCCAATTTAGAAGGACTCAGCAAACACCTTTTTTCAGTCATGGATCCTGTCTCGATCTACATTTGACCATTGATCCAGCAACTTGACTGGTCACCATGCGGAGGTCTGATCCTCCGGCGGAAACTCCCCCGTTTCAGGAAAATTGATTCACTCTGCGACGGCCGCTTGAACTCAATCTGCATCACACGTCAATCACCATGTACGCAGTCACAGTGCTTCAGATTTGTGGTTCGATTCAACTACGTGATCAACCTGTCTATTGAGCTACGGTCATTCAGACCCACAGAGGGCTGCGCCGGTTGATGCCGAGGACGTTGCAGGCTGAAACATGAGAGCCAGCTGGCCTTGCTAAGCTCATTTTTGAGGCTTTGACTCAGGAATACGCCTTTGCGATGGGATGAAATTGCGGGACTGACATTGGAGTCTCACAAGCAGGAAGATGAATGATGCTTCTCGGTCTTTCAGGTCGATTTACCAGGCCTCCGACGGTCTGGCCTCGCTGTATGGATATGAATATGGCTAGAGATGTGCTGGCTTGAGTCAACCATGACAAGAATCTTCGCGGAAGAAAATCTGTCGCACGATTGATTCAGATATTCTTCGGCATTGAGCTCTCGGTATTTGAACAGAGATCTCAAACTCGAGGCAACAGGCCGAGCCGCTTTCTCTCGCACTGCTATCCAAAACGATCGATGGTCGTGACTTGTCCGTCGAAGCCCAAAGATGAAAGTGAAACTCCCCCCGGGGGGATAGAGATCGAGAGATTCCCCGAAGATCCTCCGTATCCAAACTCCAGTCTACAGATCACAGCCCTAAGGGACTAACGTCCTATCTCGACCCTGGCTTCCTCTGGATGCGATGAAACAGGGGCAGACATCGGTCCAGCACAGCCTTCGAGTGATGGTCGGCATTTATCTTCCTCGGCTGAGAGTAAGTACCGGTTTCAGGATGGAAGGCCGGAGAGGTATAAAGACTCTGCTCGCGTCACCACCGACTAGACAGCCAGAGCAGAGCAGAGCAGACAGGATCATTTCATTCTCATCAGTCACTCGTTCACTAGAGCTGGGCTCATTCATTCATTCTTTTCGAGGATCACTTTTAAGACAAAATGAAGGCATCCATCACCACCGTCCTCCTCATCGCTGGGCTTGCCGTCGGTGCACCCACCAGAACCATTCATTCCGACCTCGAGAAGCGTCAATTCGGCACCGGCACCGATGGACTGGCTGCTCTAGCCTCCCTCTTCCCTATTCTGGGCGGCTCTTCCACCTCCTCGTCCGGTGCTCTGGCCTCTCTCTTCCCTATTCTGGGCGGCTCTTCCACCTCCTCGTCCGGTGCTCTGGCCTCTCTCTTCCCTATTCTGGGCGGCTCTTCCTCCTCGTCTGGAAGCGGCTTCAGTCTTCCGGGATTTACCTTGCCCACGTCAATCCCCGGCCTGGGCAGCCTGGGTAGCTCCGGCTCCTCTGGCCTTTCGGGACTGAGCGGGCTGAGCGAGCTGAGCGCAAGCACCGGAACCGGCTCGACCACCGGCTCCAGCACCCAGGCAAGCAGCAGCGCTGTCGCCAGCGCCAGCTCCGGCACCAGCTCCGGCCTCTCCGCTCTCTCCGGCCTCCTCGGCGGTGAGTCACCTTCCCCCTTCAGCAAACCCCACACGCTAAACAACCCAGAAACCCTCGCTAAACGCGGACTCACAGGCTCCATGACCGAAAACGGCGTGACGGACAAAGACGCCTGCCAACCGCTCACCTTCATCTTCGCCCGCGGCACCTCGGAACTCGGCAACATGGGGTCCATCGCGGGGCCCCCCGTCGCCACGAAGCTCCGCTCCCTGCTCAACAACAAGGTCGTCGTGCAGGGCGTCGACTACCCGGCCTCCATCGAGGGCAACGCCCTGCTCGGCGCGGCGGGCGGGCCCACGATGGCCAGCCTGGTGAAGCAGGCGCTGGCGCAGTGCCCGGACACCAAGGTCGTGGTGGGCGGGTACTCGCAGGGCGCGATGGTCGTGCACAATGCGGCGAGCTCGTTGGCTGAGGGCCAGATCGCCGCCGCGGTGCTGTTCGGGGATCCGTTCAAGGCGGAGGCCGTGGGGAAGGTTGCGGCGGCGGATGTCAAGGAGTTCTGTGCGGATGGGGACCCGGTTTGTCTGAATGGGGTGAATGTGCTGGCGCATTTGAGCTATGGGGATGATGCGGCCGAGGCGGCGCAGTTCCTGGTTACGGCTTCGGGGGTTTCAGCCTGAAGTTGAGGTTAGGTGGAGGTGAAATGGATGGATATGATTTATGGGTAACTGGTTGATTGGTTATGGATGGAATTGTGGTTTGTCGCTCCTTACTGGCATGGCGCTGGCGCTGGCGCCTTAGATAGATTCGATTCTCAAGGAATATCCTGTCATTGAATAAAATTCATTCTACATACCATTATATAGCAAAATCTATAACATTGCGGCAACCATGTTGCATTGGTGACATCGTTTAGAAAACCTTGAATCCACCAGGCATCAAAGTCTGGAACACAGCGTGCGGATCGTACTTCCGCGCAACCCGCTGCAGCTTCTGGTGGTTCGCGGCACCGTACCCAGGGAAGATGGACTGGAAGCCAGCCGCGTCACCCATGTAGTTGAAGGCATCGTACAGGCCCGCGGCCTGGGTGGCATTGTTGATCTTGTAGGTGGTCTCCTGGACCCACGCGGCGACGATCTCATCGTACGCGGAGCCGATCCACTCCACGACCTCGGCGTAGCAGAGGTAGACCTTGGAGGCGTCAAGGCCCAGGGCGTTGCCGCCGCGGGCGGCGGTGGCCTCCATCCAGGAGGCGCCGATGGGCTGCCAGTCCAGCTGGATGGTGGAGATGTTGGCGGCGGGGATCTGCGCGTAGAGCTTGGGGAGCTCGGCGAAGAAGGTGTTGTTGATGAGGCTGATGCCCTCCAGGAGTTCGTCGTACGTGGTGCCCTTGACGGTACCGGCGACGAAGACGTCGCTGGGCTAGTTAGCAGGTGGCCATTGATGTGAGGGGAAGAGGGCGTACTTGATGTCGTCGACGACCATGGCGCCGAGCTCGGTTGCGAACTCGGCCAGGGTCTTGAAGCCGACAGTGCTGCTGATGGAAGGGATGTCGGTAAAGGGCTTGAAGATCTCCGGGTACGAGGTGTCCTCGCTGTCGTAGAACAGGATCACGGATGCCAGGAGGGAGTCTCCGGGGACCAGCGCGGGAACAATGTGCGACTTGGGGTCCGAGATGTTGGCGGCGTAGGTGGCGGCGGCCTACTACAGTCAGTTGGAGATTCCACGACAGAGGAGCAGAAGCACACCTCGAGGAACTGGTCGACGTATTCCGCAGACACGGTGTGAGCGCCAGCCCAGATCTTGGGCGACTTGATTGTCTCGATATCGAAGCGCGTCACCAGACCAAAGTTGCTGCTGCCGCCCTTCAGAGCCCAGAAGAGATCGGGGTGGCTGCTCTGGTTGACGTTGACGAGAGAGCCGTCCGCAAGCACGACCTCGTAATTGATCACGCTGTCACATCCCCAGCCCACCTGGTTACCGTAGAAGTTGACGCCCCCGGCCAGCAGCAGACCAGGCACACCGACGGGGGCCAAGCGACCACCGGGAACGGCGAGACCGTAGGGCTCGAGGAAGTTGTATACATCGATCCAGCTGTTTCTATTAGCAACAGGATACCGCACACAGCGAAGATGACGCACCGATAAGCAGGACCCAGCGAGAGGACGGACTGGTCCTCCGACAGAGCCATGGTGGTCAGGTTGGACATGACGATCAACACCCCATTGTCGATGTTGTTCGAGCCCTGCATTCATCAGCACATGATCACAATATCAGTCTTACAGGATTGTATACTCTAATGCCCATGTGGCCACCCCCTCTCACGGCAAACTGAGCGTTGGCCTTGACGAGCTTCTGCAGACCCTTGGCCAGCTGTTTGCTCGACTGCGGGCGGAAGACACAGCCGGGAGACATGATCTCGGTATTGGACCAGAAGTTCTGCGTCTCATAGTCGTAAACCGCATTGCCAGCGTAGAAAGTCGCACCCGACAGGTTACCCTTCAAGGCACTGCAGCCGTTGGACGACCGCTGGCCGATGGCCGAAGCGGCAGCGAGTCCCGCCAAGGGGAGGAGGGAAGAAGCCACACGCATTCTGGCAAGAGAAAACAGAAATTAAGGAAGACGGAGAAAGAAGAAGAGGATGGCAGAAGTGGACTTCATGAGGGAAAGGAAGAGTCTTTTGTAGTGAATCTGAACGGCGGGCGGGAGTGGGATAGATAGTACACATGAATCAGTCGTCGACTACCCGATCGATGTGAGCGTTGTTCGCTTGGAACTAACCGAGTAATGACCCTGCGCATGCCGCATGGAAAACCGACAGAATGACCGGATGCTTCTCAACCCGTGGAGACTCACAGTCTTCTAGGCGACTCTTAGCCTCGATCTAGTCGCCGGCTAGGCTCAGGGGGCGTCGACCCTCGGAGATGAAGATGCGACGCTGCCGGATGAAAACCTGCATAGATTAATGAGCAATTGTGTATCAAATTGAAAGAAAGCTGTTTCACCTAGAGCCGAAAGTATGCAAGATTTAAGCATAATCTCACTGAAAGTGTGCAGAGATGAACCATGGTGATAACCTCACCGTTGCCGTGTTTCTCTGCCTCGTGGCTTTTCGAGGGAGCAGAATCCACTTCGATCAACTCTCTGGACGCATCCAATCCGGGAAGAGCTTGGAGCCTTGGAATGCTCGCTACGTGCACGCATCTCCACTGCACGAGGCATCGATCTAAATCATTGTCATCAATCGGCTCGATCGATTGTGCTCCAGGTCGGTCGGAGTACCTGCACGTTTTCAACGGTCGCTCCGAAGTGGATGCCCTGCTTTTTTCGAGAATGTGAATAAATCCAATCAATTATGGGCATATTGTATGACTTACCGTGGGGAATTCTCGTTGTGAATCTCGTTGTTTACCACTCAAAGGGGATGGATATAGTCTCCTCGGTCATCCCGGAAAGAGAATATCCACCATAACCACTCGACTACGGAGTAGAAATGTGTCTAAACAACCATTCCTGGCGTAGGAGAAATAGTAGTGTAAAAATGTGTTCAACAGAGAAGCACCAAGAGACTTGGCAAGCCACGAATGTCTCATTCCCCATTGCAGAAGCCCGCCATCAAAATGCAATAACCAGAATAGAAAATTAATATTGACATTGTTATTAAGGAAATCATTATATCTTACGCCTTTCGTGTACTGGAATTATCTACGTTGAACTCGACCGTCCGAATAATCCCACCGTCCAGCGGTGATTCGGACAAGATATGCTCCTCGCTGGAATTATCCGCTCCCCCCTTGAGCGTGGCCAGGTACTGGGTGCTCGGCTCATTGGTGAACTTGGGATTGTCGCTGCGAGGGATCGAGGCCAGCGGATGGCCGTGCTTGCGTGAGCTGCCGTGGTTGTAATTGTTTCGACCACTCGACGACGACAGGCCGAGCAGACGGGGAAAGTATCGACGGACGAAAGGTCGCATGGCCGTAATGCACCCTCCCAGGATCCCCAGATTCAACTCGATCGTGCACCACATCAGAGCGTTGGTCGTGGCCCCTGTCGTTGCAATTAGCACTGGACCGTGGCAGAGCGCAGAATCTCCTGTTGGAGAGCTCACATGTGAGATCGGTACTCTTCAACAGAGTGTAAAGAGACGCCAGTCGGATACAGCTGACGATCCCGACGCTGGTAGAGAAAGTTAGTTGGACGGTGATGGCTTCGGGTCTTGTCAGAGAGCACACGTACAAACATCCCATTCCCAAGATCAAACCCACCGCAACCTTCTGTCTCGCGGGCATCTGCAATCGCCGCAACCAGGGTCTGCGTTGCAGTCTTGTCAGCAGCGGCTCCAGAATCAGACCATCCATACACACATAGGAACCAACACCGTCGCAAAGTCGGTAAAGATGCCCAGCCCGGCGTTCGCAAAGTAGAAGACAGGTCGGTTCATGCAAGAGCCTCCAGTAATCGACACATCCCACGACTTGGCGATCGGACTACAGCTGAAGATGTTGGCTAACACACTGGCCACATTATACCCAACAGCTATAAAAGCAATTGTCCATACTGCCAAATGAAAACCGCGCGTGGGAAAGATTCGAAGGTAGAAGACGAGGACGGAGACTTTGGTAAACCCGGTAGCCGCGCAATAGATGATCGCAGCAATCACGTTCAACTAGACGAAAAGTGGTATGAGTATGTGGGAAGTAGCTCGACGAGTTGGGCGCCCAATACCTTCAGGAAATGAGGAGAAAAGTTCGACAAAGGCGTATCCCACATGTGATTTCCCAAGCCGTAGTTCAGCACTACCATCAGAGCCTCCCATTAGCCATCACGGGCCTTTCAGCCAGAGCTTTTTTGAATCAAATTTCACTCACTAGTCAGGGTAACTCCGGTCAGAACCGCAGATAGAGCCTGTCGAGAGCGCGTTAGACGAAAGTCGCGAACCGCCGCGTGCGAGAAGCTTGGGCCTACCAAGGCCATAATCATGAGATCTGTTGTCCATATTAGCAAATCAAACACAATCGGACCGGACGAGACACGCACAATCATCCATTTGAAAAGAGCGCACGACGAACAATCGGGTCCAGGTCCGTACCAGCAAAGCGATCGCCGCCAGTGGGACAAAGACACAGTTGACTATCAGGAATTTCGCTCCACAGGACACCGGGTCAATAAAGTTGGAGGTCATTCCTGCTGGCGGCGGCATCGCCGGTACAATCTCTGTGCTTGCCATGATGCCGTCTCGATTGCAGACTGCTGTAGAACGCCTTCATGAGGCGAAGAGTTTTGGAGTAGACCTACTGCGAGGTGTCAGAGCTCCAAGAGCATCTGCAAGTGGGAACTAGATCCTTAAGACCAGGCCCGGGACGGACGATCATGGAGTTTCTATTTGGTATTTGAATCTTGAAATCACCAAAAACAGAGAGAGGGAAAGACGCTCCACGGGGATGTCAAAGCGCAAGCCAATACCACCTAAGGTTTGGGCTGAAGCGACGGTCCATTATGTGCGTGACGACTGGACGTACAATTTCCTAGAAAAGGGTCGAAACAGAATGGTCCCAATTTTTGTGGTCGATTAGTCCACGAGATGATCAGCGTCGCTCAATCTGGATCCAGTCCATGCGAAAGAGGCTCTCTTTTGTACATGTGCCCTCATGACCAATAGATATTAACAGAGCAGGCTCTGTTCCATAGCCAAGATAGCTGGCCATGACCATGCACGAAGTATGCGAAAAACTCCAAGACTAGTCCCGAAATCAAAGTCTTTGTGTCTCTAGAACTGAGCCACGAGGTCGGTCATCTTGGCATACATAGGAAGTGACTGGCCAGATTAACTGCATCAAGCATGTCTCATGAGACGGTCTTTAAGAGGTCATCCATGGTCCACCGTCCAACTTTGTTGAGCCGTCCCTTTTCCCGGCTTCGTAGTTCCCCCCACTTCTCATGAGTTCGGTGCCAAGCAAGCTCCATGCCCTCCCTAGAGTCTGCTAGAGTGTATACTTGTGCCACAGTGGCCCACTGCCCCTTGCTCAGAAGGGTGATTGCTTGATGCACCGTCAAAGTCAATCCGACCCAGAGTTCAGTAGTGCCGTCGCCGTGGAATTACGATCTGTGTGCCTTCTTCCTAGTACCACAGCAAAGGGCTAGTCTGTCCGTGCCAATGACTAATGTAAAAACGGGGCCTTGTAATTCGACGAGACGATAATCCTCGGTGTTAATTGTTGTTTTCCTTGCTTGCTGAGTCATGTTACATCTTGTCATGATGTTGACTTTGTCAGGGTTGAGAACTTGACCATATTGGATCCGCCCATATATTTTTAAGTCATGGGTGTTGCCGCGTTGTAGCTATTCCATGGATCTGATGTGGGACAATGGCATTATCTGACATTCTGAACCATGGGAGAGAGGGTGAAGTGCGAGTTGTCAAATTGTACCTAATCCTTTGGGCGTGTACGGGGCAGACTCGGAGTCTTCCGACGTACCGAACCAGATCCACTCGTGAGCATTGCCAAGTTCCATTCTGACCATTCGACGAGATTGAGAGGACATTCTCGGCCAGAGAACATATGAAACTTTGCGTCAATCGCATCGGATTTCTCCTGCAACTTGGGGTTTGCATATCCATTGAACGAGGGTAACAGCACAGTATCGAATTGACAGAAATAGCTGCTGCTGCACATTCTCTCTCGCCCATGCTGCCCGAAATACGCTTACTCTCTTAGAGATGAAGACGGGGTCCGGTATAATATTCACCGCAGCCCCGCTATTGTGTGTCGGTAGTCGGTACTCGGTCAAATCGTCAATATTATTGTCGAAACACCCACAGGAGTCCGCAACCTGCAGGTTCATCCTAGTTAATCCCTGAAGAGGGTAGATGCAAGGTAGTTCATGCAGAAGAAGCGACTTGAACGAATCCTTGAAGAAATGCGCAGTTTGTGGCGCGATGGAAATTTCCGGCTCGTTCAGGGGTCGTGTTGATCGTTCTGAGGTCTTGCTTGGACTTGATGTGATAATCTCTTGCTTCCTAAGAAAAGCTCCTGTCAGCCATGTGGAAGACAACATAGAAAACTGAAAAGGCACTTAGCAATGAGGACATTACAAATCCTCATTGTGAAAATCAAATTCTCGGCAGCTTGCCAGTGAGGCAGAGAGTGGGACTAGACCAGCTATTATTGATTGTGGCTTGCCGATGAAGTTCTCAATATGAAGCCTCAGGCCAGCTTCGTTTATATCATGAGATGCAATCAATTATTCAGAATAATACTTGTGCAAGTATAAGATAGGAGTTTATAGTAGACTGAGCAGATAGACTGAAGTGCAAAAGGATGAAGCCTGAAAAGGCAATGCAGGCGAGGTCACGAGGTCTGCTGCTATGCCTTGGACCTGCCTGCCTCCTCCTCCTCCTTCGTCCAACTACTGCCAACCCTCTGTTCAATCTACCTATTCCGTATACCTTTAGGCTTCGCTCCAGCATCCTGGCGTGGCTTGTGTCCTTGAATCTCAGGCTAGCTCCGCTGGTCTTTCCTTAATTCTTCTGTCATAACTCTCTTTCTGCGAATCGACGTCAAGATCTCTCAGGGGTTGCCAATCGCACCCCACAAGATCATTCCTCTTGTTCAATCACAGATTGGGAAAATGGTGGTGATTCTGGGGAATGGGGAAGGGATGATCCCTTGGGTGTTCCGACTCGGATAACCCGAGCAGTTGGAATGGAGGAAAGCATGCTTGACTTTGAGTGACGCGGAATCATGTAAGACTCCATTTTATGAGGAAATGCTTTCTTCTTAAAGAGTCTGGTCAATGCGATCCAGTAGTGAAATTTGAGCACTGGCATTATGGAGAACACTCCGTCGGGTAAGGTATATTTCTCATTAACAATAAGCAAATCCAGGGTCAACGCTCTATAGCAAATCATATCAAGCCAGCATTAACAAGATCCCCTACCAGTCCTTGAAGTAGACACTGTTATAGTCCCTCACTAACTCATCCACATCTTCCTTTTTCATCCCCATCTCCGCCCTTCGCGCGTTGGTCGACTCATATCTTTCCCGAACCGAAGACAGCATCTCCTCTCGTAGCTTAGCTCCTGCTTCAGCCTTTGAGAACGCGGGATCCTGCCGGCGACTTCCCAGCCTGTTTTCAAGCGAGTCCTGATAATCAAGAGTCGTTTTATCATTCCGAGCAAAATCATACCCATGGCACACGGGGCAGGACAGGTCAACCGCACAGCCACCAAAGAGCTCAGGCCACACCCGCTGACAGCCGGGACAAAACCATCCCAGCGTGCCACAATAGGGGCAGCGGCCGAAGAAGTAATGCTCGAGAACATCACTACCGACCGTGAGACAGAAGTCCAATAAGGATAGAACTGACAGGGTATGGAACTTACCGCCCGTGAGGTCGCACAATCAGGTTGGCTTCACCGTCCCCTTCATTTGCGGATTGGAAGCTCTGAAGGTACGTTTCCAGCCTCTCCTTCTCGCGCGTGCGGTTCCTATCATGGTTCTCCTCATCTTCGCCTTCGTAGTAGACGTTCGGTCCATCTAAGGTGAAATATCCCTTGGACTGTGGGACGCGCCAGTTCACGCGCTGCACGATGATGCAGGGTGCGCTTGAGCTTGGATCTTGGGTGGCTGAAGCAGACTTGACGACGAGCATGGCTGCTCTTTTGGGGGTATAGACCAAGATCAGGTCGCCCGGTTCTACGTCTTGGGGTAATTCTCCATTGTGGCGAAACCGGCGGCGTTTTGGTGTTGGGAGAAAAGTGAAATTCAGGAGATTGGTAGAGGAGTCAGATAAGTATCAGGAGTCGTGTGGTATTGATGACGTAGAGTGTCGCTTAAGGAGCCAGAGAATTGTCGCAAGGACCTGGCTGATCATTTATCAAATACAATCCGTTTCAGAAAATCAATCTTAATTGCAAACAGGAAGTACACGAGCTGAAAACACAGCAGGGACAGAGGGGCACCTGGGAGTACGATCTCGGCGGCAAGAGAATTCTGGCTCGAAAATGGTACAGCACCAGATTATGGCCTAGTAATCCCCCGTGGGCAGCCCTGCACTCGCAGGAACATGCTGGCCATGAAAGCCGAAGCCTACCGGTCCGTTGAGATGTGCTCTACCCAGCTCAGACATATCGCGCGCGTCCAGACAGAGCAAGTAGCTTTTCCCAGTCTTCCCATCCAGCACAACGCTCAGGAGGACCCCGTCATCCTCATCAACGCCCGCAGGATCAGCGATAAAGATTGCTTCTCCAGGAGACTGACCATGCTGTTTCCAGACAAGAGTCTCTTTGGCCACGCTGTCGTATTTCATGATGCCGTCGAAGAAAGTCGATTCGTCGCGATCAGTCACGGCGTAGGTGTACCGATGCTTCTGCGTGGTATATTTCGGGTTCAGGGTAGGCAACTCGGGAGCATAGGCCTTGCATGCTGTCCAGTTGATAGATGCCTTTTTCGCCTCTGATATTGGGACCGAAGAGATATCCGGAAGCCGGAAGCTGGTCACCGCTGAACGACACCCATCACGCTTTCCTTGGACAAAAGCCTTTGCGCTGGGGAACGAAGAAAGCATATTCTCGTAGTATAATTTCTCGAGTATGCCTAGATCATCGAACATGACAAGTTCGGCCACGATGTCGGTTTTGTTGGGATCATAAGCAGAAGGTTCCTGCCATGCATTGATGGTGTGAAAGCAGAAAAAGGAGCGGCTTTCGTACGTCGCGAGGAGCCCTCCACTGCCCTTGCGGTCGACTACGTACCACGTCGCGGGTTTCGACGCGTCAAACGGTTGGATGGCTTCTACGAAAGAAGCCTCGAACTTTGCTGGGTTGATGTGCGAGTTCCACACACACAGGATCACGTAGTCTTCTGTTATTAACAACGAATGCAGGTATGCCGGAGTTCCAGGGAATTCGGCCAGAATCGACGTAATGCCAGTTGAAGCAGACACACAAAAGATGCGATAGATGGCTCCTTCAGGACCAAATGCTAGATTGAAGTTGTATACGTCCCCTGTGACTGGATCGGATCTTGCATGAGACGCCGACAGGGGGCCGGTCAGATCAGGATGCAGATCCTTTTGCGCAGCGATACCAATGGGTTCGAGAGTCTCAGGATCGATTTGCTTGTATTGGCTGGCGTCAGTTTTTGCATACAGAGTCTTGATTCCGGAAGCTTTCGTCCAGCGGTCACCGGTCTCATGGCCAAGACCAGGCATGTTGACCGACAGCGTTACTCCAATGTTGTGACAGGATGGTTCGTTTTCCGGGGCATAAGATGTCTGCACCTTGTGGAAGACAGTCCTGCAGGGATCCCGCTTTTGGCCAAAGCTGAGTTTCTCTAAGGAGCCGGTCTTCCTCACTTCCTCGATCAACAAATCTGTCGAGAAGCGGGAGTTGTAGAAGACGCGCGTGGACGGGTGGGACTCATCTGGAGCCAAGATTTGGAATCGATGGGTCTGGCTGAATCCGTCAAACCAGTGAGATATCTTCAATGTATCTCCATTGTCCGTGTCAACCGTATATTTTCCTGGGCCCGTGCGATAGAGAACACCTGCCGCGTAGGAAGGGATCTGGCCAGTCAAGGAGAGTTCGACTGGCTGGCGTTCCTCATAGTTGGCGTCGAACTAGGGAGTGTACCTGGTCAGTAACCGTTCCTCAGATTGAAGCATGCATTTCCACTTACCCCTTCATCATTCGGCCAGTCATTGAAGTATTCTTGGACGCTGGCCATCTTGCAACCAAAGAGATCTGACAGGAGTTGATTCTGAATGGGGTTATCTGAAGTTCTGAGTTCGACTGAATACGGGCCTTTGGGGTCGCCAGCTATCCAGGGAAGAATTTATACCTGCCCTGAGGACTCGCTCGGGGTGATGAAGTATCCGAATCATAAACTGGACGGCATACAACCAAATTCCCCAACATCAGTTGTACCATACTGACGCTCGTCAATCAGGCGGCCAGTCGTTGCGGGGGAACCCGACGGATACAATGCCAATTCCTGGTGGCGAGTGACGCATTCTGGTACATCAAATCATAGATTTTTGACTTGCAGAAAAGTGAATCTCGCTTTTGAAGAGATATACCTCTCTACATGGTCTAAATGTACCACGTATTTCTGGGATACGTTGACATTGAGTCCGCCTTCCTCTTGTTTGAGACGATTAAAGGAATACAAAGCGGGTATTTTTCGGGCCTTTCTCTATCTCTGATTCGCAAAATTAAGAAACGAAGCATGGACCCAGCATTTTCCCGATGATGGATGTATCTGAGATAGAGCACTGCCACTGGTTGCAATCACAATACCAGAAACTTGCCACGTGACTTCTCGCTTAGCAGTTGGGCCGTTGGCACACGTTGCTGGAGAGACAGATCGATGGAAGAAATGTAACATTAACCATCTAATCGAGATATGCGTGAGTGACATCGCCTACAATGGCTGGCTCCCACGGATCGAGCCAATCTGGTATGTCATCGAATATCGAATTGAAATCCATGTCATCAATCACCACCTGAATCCACGGATCAACCTTTGCGGGGGAAAGCCGTCGGTGAGGATCCAATCCCGCGCCTCAGCCTCGGCGTAGGCAACCAGATATCTATTTGGCACAGTCAATCTCCAGCTTATTATTACCCTGTGTAGAGACATTGACACCATGTGGATACACGCCAGCAGCAGTGGCCGACAATGGAGCAAAATATGATTCCAAACCCCCTCGGCGGTCGTGATCTGAGATGTGAAATCTGTGCCTTCACGTTTCACCGCAGCGACCACCTCAAACGCCACCTACTCATCCGTAAGTGTGCATGCAAAATGCATCAAGGCTTGACTGATTGGCTTAGATAAACCACCTAAAGAATACCGATGCCAGTTCTGCAGCTCTACATATAGCCGCGGGTAAGAAGGCTCATGCGTGCCGCGATCGCTGTACAACTAACACGTTGTACAACAGGGATGTTCTTCGTCGACACTGGGCTACGTGCGCTAGACGTCTGGAATCAGGGCAGGAGATTCCCAAGGCGGATGCTGGAGGGAAACAGAAGCATGCCTGCGATGCTTGTGCCCGCCTGAAAAAGGCTTGTAATGGGCTGCAGCCATGTGCCGAGTGCGAGTCCCGCGGGAAACTATGTTCTTACGAACGCTTAAAGGGGGGTCGACCAACCCGGGACAAACGAAGGAAGTCGACTCTTATTTATGATGGACAGCAGGATTGGGAGACGAAAGGTTTCGGGTATCAGACTCTACTTCCGCCAAAGCCGACATGCCAGAGTTACCGAGCCAGTGCAGGAGCATTACCTGGGGTATCAATCGGCCCATAAGCGACCGATTCGAAACTTATGACATTAACCAGCAATGCGAGTACGCTAAGCGAAAGGAGACAAGCACAACTGAACCAGACAAGCTTCACCCGCATCTGACCCAATAGTCACGCAGGCCGTCGTTCTCAATCTGCCTCCATTCTCCAATTTCCCGGTCTTCTTCCGCCTTGTCCATCTCATTTGGCTTGTTGCCAAGTCCCAGGTTGTACGGTCGGTACCCTGGGTCGGCTCGCAACCGTCGAATGACACTGCCGTGAATTTTGGCATCTTTGGGAAGCGGCCGCCGCGAACCTCTTGTCTGCCATCGAGTCATACGGACCGAACCATCCGGCGTGATCTTTGGTCTTTTGAAGGGGAACCACTCCAGCAGTCTCCAGAAGAAAGTCTCGGTTCCTCTACCACTATCATAGTCCAGGGAATCGTGGATCCGAGCGCGTTCAGCCTGGCGTACGATGTCCTGGTTCTTTTCACTTTTGGCTGGATCTTGGCAGCCGAGCGCCTCAAGCTTTGGACTTTCGAACGTCAGCCCGGCCCTGATGGCTTCCTGGACCATCCAGGTCAAAGGGATATGGCTCGTGGGCCAGGACTTGCTCGGCCAGCCTCCCCCAACGTCGCCATGGTTTCCGGCGAAGTACACTTCCTCAAAGTCAGCCTCGAGCTCTGCAGGATCACTGTCATTGTCAGAGTCGTAGATGTTTTCGGCCCCTCTCTTCCACTCCTTAACGCTTTGCTTCCTCTTCAGTGATCCCGTACCAAGGTTGCTCTCGAAGAGTACTGGCTGGAACTTGATCCTCCGCTCATCAATACTGACGGCGTGTCTCATAATTCTCGGGCTGGGCCTTGTGCTACTTTCCTTGTTAAACTCGGCCACACTGTTGACAGTATCGAACAAGCCCAAGAAGTGGACTTGCCCGACGGGTCGACACATCGTCTCCCGACTCACGCTCAAGCATCGCATTGCACTCAAACGTTCCTCTTTATCCTCGCCCTCGGAGAATTTCCACTGCGTGAACGCCTCCCAGACGAAGGGAATCAGTTCCTCGTTGTCCGCGGAGAGGAGGCCTATATAATCGAGCATCTCGTTGAGGAATCGCGCTGTGTAGGCGCCTCGAGAGAAGCCAAAGAGGTAGATTTTAGCGCCGGGTACCCATCGGCGCGCCAGGAAGCGGTAGCCTCGAATGACGTGCTGATCGAACGAGGTCGCAAGGGCAAGGTCAAAGGCCTTTCGAGTCCAAAGGTTGCCGCTGGGGCGGAGGACGGCGTGAGCGACCGAGCCGGGCGTTATGTCTGATCCAATGCCAGCTGCGCCAGATTAGCTGCTGTCATTGAGAATCGGCGACGTACGTACGTTGGTAGTAGCAGTCTATGCTCGTTAGCACAGCATTCAGTGATTCGGTCCCCGATAAAACATACATCTATTTTCCTTGGTCCGATCTAGCATTCGAAAGATCTTGAGGATGTTACTCTCGCCGCCGTCTGCGCGAAAAGTGTTTCCCGTGCCATCGAAACACAGGACGAGTTCTCGCGTGGGCGCATCACACCTGCGTTCAGAGTCATAGTCCATCATGTCGGCAGTCGCGCTTTATTGATGCACATGAACAATACACAGGCTGGAGATTGTCAGTGCGCAATCCTGTCTGGCGAAAGCTGAGACCGATGGAGTATATAAGAACCAGCACATTTGAAGCGAGGGCCCGTGAGTACGACGATCAGTCCTCAGGCGAAGGGCCTCATTGCCCAGGCTCAGCCTTGTGCATGGCCACCAGGCGTCCACTGCGTAGATAGCATTTTGTAGGTTTGTGCCAGGATTGGCGTACGTCAGACATGATTTGGTGTTCAGGTGGAGGCCAAAATGCCAATCTTTACTTTATGATTGGGATTCGGGAAAGGTGTTTGTCGATCTTTCGTGTTGATCTCAATAGCGGCGGTAGTTGCAGTTTGCGAACAGTTGGAACTCTTGAGGTCCTCCAATGATCACATAGTGGCATAACATGGGCAAATGACAAACACCTTGATCTGTTAGCTACATATTACTAGAATGAAGTCAGACCAGCACGCCCATAACTATAAGGTTCGACGCAGCTGCGAACTGCAGTTTCGTGGCGCGGATCGTGTCTCGGCGCAACAAATCACACCGCCAGATGAGCTGAGTAGAAGCCTTACACTCGTAAAGGAGGGCTGGAAGCTCGAGCTGAACTGCTGAAGTAGTGCTTACTAGATCCATCATATGTACAGAGCCCAGTGCCTCGCATCCAGCCTTACACCACCGCCTGCTTACAGAACAGAGTAGCACAGCTCCACATAGACCACGCAGTCGCGGCTCGCCGACGCCATTGGAGTAATCCGTAAATAGTCAAAAGAGATGGCGAAAAAAGTCAGGGACAGACACCCTCACACACCAGAAACGGAAACTCCATCACCTCCCGCCTCCCATCCTCCCAGTCCTCCACTTCCTTGTCCAACGTCCACCCAACCCACACCTTGACTTCGGTGAATCCCACCTCCCGCATGAGATCCTCCATCCACCCGCGCGGAATCCCATGCCTCTCCACCCCCTCCAGCTTATCCTTGGGATGGAACAGCCGCGCCTCCGGGCCAAAGTCCTCAAAATCCGTCAGCGCAACCCGACCCCCGGACTTGAGACAGCCGCGGAGCGTGCTCAGGAACGACCTGAGGTCGGGGACATGATGCATGACGAGGTGGGAGAGGATGAGGTCGAATTTCCGCCTCGCTCCCGCGCCCGGGCCCGTTGATTCGGTCACGGTAGCCGGGGGCAAGGCTGGATCCTCCGGGTCCGTGAGTAAGTGGCAGATAGGCGTGACATTCTCCGGTGCGTTTGGTTCTGAGAGCTTCGCGTTCAGCATGTCGACCATGCCCTCTGCGGTGTCGATGGCTACGATCTGCTTGACGTGCGGCGCGACGCGGAGGGTGAGCAGGCCTGTTCCGCAGCCGACTTCGAGGACGTCGAGGCTCTGCGCGCCATTTGATGGAGTGGTGAGGAGGGGGTGGAGGGTTTCGTAGGCTAGGCGGGTGGCTTCCTGCACGGAGGGGTTATTGTCCCAGTTGGCGGCTTCGGCGTTGAAGCGGTCGTTTCCTGTTAATGGTTGGGACATTGTCACTCTGGAGAGAGAGATGATTTTGATCAGAAATTTGATGATGATGGTTTGTTTACTCTGGTTGATCTGGAGTACTCTTCGGCATCGGTTACCCCAATGCGGGGTCACGGAGTGGATCTTTGCTTGATGCTGGTCCCTGTAGTCTTTCCCTCTGGTTCGTCTGTTCATCAACGAAAGCATTATTCTCTCGGAGGTTGTGGTCTTTTTGTTATGGTGTATACTGGATCCATTACAATCAAGATCTTTCACATGGACAAACTCTGATATCTGCTACATTGAGATGTAGACGAAAGTGGCCACCTCAATATCTGGTAGAACTCACGATATACTCGCAGGACAATCTGACCGAAGATTGAGTTCAAGTTCCGTCTATGAGACATTATTGGAACATGTTTTACTTCGCAAGTGTCTATCAAGAAGGTTTCCGTGGGCAGACGGGAGCCATTGAGTCTATTTATTTGGCTTGCTGTGATCCCTCGGATACTATTTAACTGATCATAAGAAGCAGAAGACTTTTTTCATTTCGCCTTTTATCATTACACCCTCAACTCGCAGAACAAGATGACCTCGTTCTCCTCTTTTACTCTGTCTCTCTTCATCCTACTGGCAGGCTACCTCAGCGCCATCTGCGCAATGCCTCCAAATCCTCCTACCACACCCCAACGAGACCCTTACGGATCCGACCGCATTCGTCTCCTCACAGGCACCTTTGCCATCACCACAGGCCGCGCCGTCCTCATCAGCAGTGTGTACCATGCGCTCGTCACCCTCTTCTACCCACCAAATACCAATAACGGCATTCTTTCCGCCATCTGTCCTCACCCAGAGAACCTCGACCCACAAATCTTCACCTCGAGTCCCACCGTAGTTCTCTCCCTCCTAGCCATCGCATCAGGCTCCGCCATCCGACTCTCAGCGTTTGGAGGCCTAGGTCGAAATTTCACATTTTATCTCTCAGCGCCGGATCGATTGATCACTGACGGTGTCTATGCGTACGTCCAGCATCCGAGTTATACGGGGCTAGTGCTGGTGGTTCTGGGATGTGTCGGCCTGTTTTGTCGGTGGGACGGGGCGATAGGAGCGTGCTTTTTGGATAAGAATGTGATTGAGAGGCTTAGTGGATTGGGGGGGATAGTGATAGTGGTATTGGCGATGACAGCTGTGATGATATTAGGGGTGCGGGTGAGGGATGAGGAGAGGATGTTGCGGGAGAAATTTGGGAGGGAATGGGAGGTGTGGCATGCCAGGACAGCGAGGTTCGTTCTGGGTCTTTGGTAGGCGATAGGAATGGTCAATTGATATATCAGTATAAACCATTGACCATCGTTTGTGATATGTGCCGATGGAAGAGCTCAGGATGGCCCGAAAACAATGACATCATTGAGTTGGAGAGGACTGGCAGTATATCACAATAGGACAAGCATCTAAACGGAGCATCGACATAAGAACAACGATCTGATTGATATTCCGGATTGAGGCAAGACATTCAATTGAGACCAGCCCATCTGCTGTCACTCTTTTGCTTCTGGTGTTGAGAATGGACATGCGATAGTCGCTGTCATCGGAGTTGGTCCGGTGGAGTCAGTCTCGTGCTCCCAGCTGTCAGTTCCCCTTCGACTCTGCCCACATCATCCCACTTCAACTTCATCCATCTTCCCTGTCGTCTTCTTTGCTCTTTTCGATAAAGTTCAAAATCAATTGAATTGGATAGCAATCATGGGTATCTTCGGTCGCTTCCTTAGGTTGACCACCATTGGAGGCGCCGCCACGGTCGGCGGGTTCTTCTGGTACACGCGCAACGACGTCTTCGAGCCGCTGCCTCTGACCGATCGCATCTTCCATTCCGCCCGGTTCAACGTCCTCAATCCCCTGCGCAACCCGACCACCCACGATCTATGCATCCGCAGAGTGCCCTTATCGGACATTGACCCCACCCTCCTGGAGAAGAAGGGAAAACTGGTCGAGGCATTCTGCGCCGGAGTCTGGAGTGGCTGGGGTACACACCGTGCTGCAAGCATTCACTCCTGCAGGGCTAACAACAACCGTCTAGGATACGCGTTTCAACGCGCCTACCTCGCTCGCAAGTATCAGGGCCCCGAAACCGCCCACCAGCTCTGGTCGCGATCCGAGCTGCGCTCCTCCTCCTATGAACCCGGGACCCTGATCACCGACCACTTCGAGGTCGTCGAGAAAACCCCCGATCGCATTGTCGTGCGGTGCGGTGCGTCCCCCCGTGTGCAGGAGGTCCGTCCCTCCGATGGTCTGTTTGAGATGTCTGTGAAGGTGAAGCCGGAGGAGGGGGTTGCCGAGTTTGGTCTCAAGAGCTGTTTCTTCCAGGGGCTAGGGAAGGCCGAGACGCAGCCTATGCCGCCGCATATGGTTTGGCTGCATCAGCAGTATACCAAGTTATGGATGGAAACCGCTATTCGGAATGTTGTGCGGTGATTCTTCCATCTTGTTTGTATATATGGCGCAATTGAACGATCTAATGCTTATCTTTGGTTAATAGCCTGTTTATCCAAGCTTAACACAAAGCACCAGACAACCACAACAGACAGACTCATTTAAGCCATGTGATAGTGATACTGTACACAAGGTAAATGCAGATCATAGCCCTAAGCATGAAAGAGGGCATGGAGAACTAATTGAGATGAATATTTGGAATTGTATCTAATTTTCGGTCTACATACGAGCATAGTAAATAAGTGAACAATTAAGGCCTTGGTGCCTGAAGAGAGCCACCAGGTAATCAGAGGGCAGGATCTGAACGAACGACAACGCAAGCGAAACACAAAAGGCACGTTTCTTTCTAATGTACAACAGGGGTATTGTAGGAAGGTTCGAGTCTCCCATGTGAATGTATATTTCAAGAAAGGAAAACATCAGCAGCCACCATCTGCCACCGACTATGCCAGAACAGCAATGAACATGGCACCGATCAGGCTGGAAAGACCAACCGACATTCTGCTTGCGCCGCTGCTGAGACCAGGAGTGAAGAGAACCTCAGAGGGCGCGGTCAGTGTCGCCGAGCCTGTTGCCGTGCCGGACGCACTTTCACCACCAGCGGTCGGCGACCAGGTAGCAATAGCAGTGACGGATGTAGCAGCAGAACTTCCGGTGGGCCTGGGAACGCGACGCGACGAAGTGAATGAACTGGCGCTAGAAGAGCCACCTAGAGCAGCAGCGCCGGATGAGGCTGGCACAGGAATTGTGGAAGGTGCAGCAGATGCAGAGGCAATAGAGCTCTGCTCTCCAGAGTCGCTTTGGGCACTGTCAGAGTCATCGAAGGATGCCGTGCTGACAGCTTGGGAGACAGGTTCCGGAGCTGTTGTGGGGATTTCAGAAAGAGCGCCTGCGGTCAGCTGGGATGCGCCAGTCTCGGACTCGGTAACAGTACCAGCGGTAGAGGCAGCAGCGGCAGAAGTTGCGACGGCATCAGCGGCGGGTTGCTCACTTGCGGCGGCAGTAGGAGTAGCAGCGATGGAAGTTGCAACGACCTCGGCGCCAGAACTCTCACTAGAGACAGCGTTGTTCTTGCCACCAAGGGCAGCTGCAGATGAACTTTCCTCGACAGGGCAGATAGTGGTAGTCGATGTGACATAGACGGTGCTAGTTGATTCTAACTCCGAATCACCGCCCTCAGCCGCAGACGCAGTGGGAGCAGCGGTGGCAGCTGTAACAGCGGGAATAGTCGTGGACTCGGCAGACGAGTGTGTGGCGTGATCGGCAGCGGAGGTTCCTTCCGCCACTGCGTTAGTCTGAGCTGTCTGGGGAACAACGGTGGTCTCAGCGGGGACGGGAACGGTAGCCGTTGCGGTATTGGCAGCCTGGACCGAGACTAGAGTGCTTTCGACCTTGGGGGTTGTGGCTTGGGAGGTAGCGGCGGACGAAGCAGCGCTGGCGCCGTACTGGTAGACCTTGATGGAGTTGATCTCCCAGTAAGCCTCTTTGAAAGCAGCGGGGTTCTGAGCGACGTAGTTCACACAGCTCTGAGTGGCGCTGCTGGAATCGCTCATGGGGCAGTTAGATTCGCCAAAAACACCACCGGCCCAGTCACCGCAAAAGGTCGTGTCAATGATGAACTTTTGTGCCTTGAAGCGCTCGGAAAAGTCGCAGGAGCCCTGCAGGTGCGCCATAGGTGTTCCGAACGAGGAGGTATCGGGGTTGCCGCCGGAAAGCGAAGCGGGAATCTTGCTGCGAGCGAAGAACCAGATCTTGATGAAGGCGTCAGTCCACTCCATGGCATACACACCACCCCCCGCCTCATTGAAAGGAGTGCCGGAGCTGCCATTGGTCCCCTTGACAACACATCCGACCGTGCCAGAAGCCTCGCCACACTCAGAGGAAGAGAGGGTGCCAGTCATGTCGTTGCTGCCCGAGACATCGCAAGTGCCACTGGTGTGAAGGACGATCTCGTTTGCCTTCTGCAGGTTGACACCTTCGATGATATCAATCTCGCCGTCGTTGGGCCAGTCCTTACCGACGGACCAGAAGGCGGGCCATGTGCCGCAAATGCTGCCAGGCATGTGCTCGATATCGATGACATACAAACCCTCTGTGTAGTACTTTTTCGACTCGATCCGTACGGAGTCACGGCCGGGGCCGTTGGGGTTCAGCGTGTTCTCGTAGTCGACACCCATATAGAAGCTACCGCTCGAAGTGACTTTGACCAAACCGGATTCTTCAGCGAGGCTCTGGTTGACGTACGTGACATAGCCATTAGTAGGGTCGGAGCCGTCGAAGAATGTCCAGTCATTGATGAAGCTTTCGCCCTGCCAGGACTCTACAAGCTGGTATGTCTGCGATTCACGAGCCTCCAGGGCTGTTGCTGAGACCAAGGACGAAGCAATGAGCGATCCTACACTCAACAAGAGCGATGAGGGGGCCATTTGCACTCTTGGGTAGTCAAAAAAGGCTTTGTTAAGGAACGACGGTCACCTCAAGTTCGAGGTGATGAGACGAATGATGGAAAAGATCTAGGGAACGGAGCCGAAAAAACAATTCCAGCTGATCGCTACTTAGGCGAACAACAGAAGACACAATTGATTGTAAAGAATGAATACACACCGTCCAGGGTGTAGCAATAGATGGTAAGAAAGGAAGGTGCAAAGGCAGAATCGATCTGCGATGATGAATTGAGGAATGAGAGAACGTAAGTGGCCAGGAATTGCCCAGCTTAAAAGAAGGAAATAATGAAAGAAATGCTTCAAGCTGAAGAGAAGATCAAGTATGTGAGACCATGACAACAAAGACTGGAGGCGAACGGGAGATGCCAATGATATAGCAATGAGAGCAGGAATGCTCGACCCATTTAGCCGCGCCTGGTCTGTGCTTGCCATCGCATGGAAACAATAATGCCAGTACGTATTATTGTCACCGTGGTCAATAAGCTGGCGCCTCATTATTGCCGTGGTCCATTCCCAAGGCGCCATCCACATGTCAGTATAGGCTTGGGATTGGAGGGTCCCTCTGCTAGTTTGTTGTCGAGACCAGGTCCAGAAGGCCGAGACGAGCCGTCATGAAATCACTCGCTTGAGGATACAGACCGTAAAGAGTGACGAATCCTGGCTGCCAGTGGTGGCATTCGTCGAGACTCGAGATCTTCCATTTTTTCCCAGCTTCTTGAGTATGCAGGGTGGGCGATAAGGAACTGCATTGGTGTGGTGGATATGCGGTTAGCAAACCTGAAACAGGTGCAGCCTCCAATAAGCATGGAGAAGTAGGTAGATGAAACAGGGGAAGGCCTTTTTTCGTCCGCAGAAAAGGACGGTCTGTTTCGCAGTGTTGTGGGTGAAACATCAAAGAAGAATAATAACAGTGACTCGCAATTGTCAATCACCATTGTCTATCCTTCATTATTGTGTCTTTGAAGCCTGCACTGATTGTCTTTGTGCAAAACTTGAATGTCCTTTCGACTTTCATGGTAGTACATAGTATGACCACAATCCACATTCTGGACGTCTCAGCATGACTCGTGGTCCTGTGAGGATAAGATTGCCGGTCAGCTCACTGTCGGACAGACAACTTTGCGGACAATGCTGTGAATCAACAATTGATATTAACGCCTGGAAAGTGATTGAGAATTATCCTCGCTCGGAGTCAGGGATAGGCTTTACAACCAATCAGTGGACTTGGTAACAAGCTGAGTCTAGACTCTAGACACTTTAGTGGAGCGACCGACCGTGACGCCGTCGGTCTTAGGGTGGATATGCGAAGCCGTCCATCTTGCCTGGGAGACGGACGACATGTGACAGAGGCCAGCAATTGGCATTTTCATTCAATGAAAAGGCGACTGTGAAATGTGACGAATCTCGACTGCCGAAAATTCCTGCTGGATGATCAAAGAAAGACTATCCAATAAGGCGTTAATGATTCGCGCTGCGGCAACACCAGGGACAATCTCATCAAACTGAGGAATTTGGCCATAATGGTAACCATCACGTGATATGCTAAGCTCAGAGCACCAAATATGGAATAGTGCGCATGGTTCATCAGCCACAGTAATTATACAGCCACATGTGGCTGTTCTTCGAAGACAACTGCAATTCAGTGGACTCGATGGAACTGCCCAGAGTAAACTCCTATCCTGAGAGGAAAGACAGGTCTCCTGATGTTATACTCCATACCTGAGTATTGTGTTCGATCACTAGCCTTTCTTGAAATATTATTTTGCACTACAATGATTCTCTATTGGTCATATATTGACGCCTTCTCACCAGAGATATATCAATCCCCAACATTCACTTAAACACTAAACTTATTGACAAAACAGCTATAGTTGGTGGCATTAGCCTTGTCCTTGTGGAATCTCTGTAAGACCCAGCTCTCTGTTACGGCGTAAAAATAGCCACATATTCTGTGGGAGAGTGGTACCTGATCGAGTGACCCTCCCTATGGCTAACTAACCAATTCAACTTATACAGTAATTCTGAGGTGCACCAAGGGTACGTATGCAGCCGGAACAGCTTATTTTTAGATAGGCTAATTATGCAGCAGTACCGGGCAGGAAGATCTGGATACCTCTCGCGAACTAAAGAAGATCATACCGCAATGTTTCTTGATGGCCCTGCTTAATGCTAGATCATGGCAGCCATCCAAATCCTTTTTCGCAGCGCCCTGACTAGCATATAAGGCCGAAAAGTACTCCCATCATCCATTCCTCATGAACACATTGCTAGATGAAGGGCTGCTTCCACATCCTTGCGACGGAAACCCGGCGTTCGGCCAAGGCAGACGCCTGTCTTCAACAGTTCTATCGTTCGTTAAGACTGTGACAACATGAAAGAGCGGAATGGATGCTGACCTTGAATTAGACGTGCCGCGTTCGCCACCTTTCGCCCATAACTGGAGTTGTTTGTATCACCCACAACAAATGCCACTTCTTTTTCCTGGAGAAATCCCTCTAGGTCCTGTATATCAAACCACTCACCATCGAGCTCATGCTGGACCTCCTGCGGTAGCTGTGATGTGGGATCTTGGATGTTCTCCCATCGCGGCAGAGTTTCAGTTGAGCTTCCCCGTTTCTTGCGAGGATAATGTGTACCAGCGCCACCGATTTTGAAGTAGGGTATCTCATGCCACTCATCTAGGCGCTTCTGGCTGGCTTTTGCATGCAAGCAGGCTTCAAAGTAAGAGGTTACGCGCTTCCTATCCATCAAGCGAAGGAGAAATCGAAAAGGTCTCTGTAAAATGTCCAAGCCAACAGAGGTATCGCTGAGAGCCGAGTAGCCTTCATAGAGACATGCAAAATGAAGTCGTTCGATAAAAGCGCTCAGATCCAGGGAAGTTACCTCGGGGGAATATTGATCTTCTGCCGTTACCCTGAATCCGGCTGCGTATAGCGTCCCCGAATCTTCCCTTTCAATAGATCCTATATAAGAAGGAGGCGATGTTGTGAGAGAAGTCTGCCTGCACTGAGGCTCTGTTCCCTCTGGAGATGAGTGACCTCCTTCGCTGGGTGATGATAAGCTTGCAGCAATATTTTGATCTTCTGTCGGGTTGGCTCCTTTTGCCAAAGACAGACAAAGCTGTACTGTGTCCCGTAAACGGCCGGTCAACCGAGGATCGGATGCCAGCACCTTGGATTGGATCAGCTCATCGCTAAATGACAAAAAAGCTGCGCTGATCTGCTCCACTGCAGTCTCAAGCTTAAGAACGCGGCTTTGAAGGGAAGAAACGCCGGCTTCCTTACGGGAACGATAGGCCCGTTGTGCTAGTCGAATTTGCATTCGACGTCGCTGTCCCGTCAGCTTGATAAAGAGAATGCTAACTAGCGCAAGCTAAGATGGGGTGTTCACGCACCTCATGAGGATCTTCTCCTTCACCAGCTGACTTGCGAGGTCGCCCTCGTTTTCTTGAAAGCGAGCCATCCGTGGGGTCGATATTTGATCTGGTTCGTTTCGAGGACTTATCTTTCGGTGCTTCGAGCTGCTGCTCAGGCGGATCTTTCAGAAGAAGGCCGCCGTAAAGTTGTGTCTGAGGGTGAGGTGTCGTTTGTGGACTAATAGAGCGTTCTGGGAGTAAGTATGAGGATGCAGACAGAAGCGAAGTGATTTTTTGAGCGCCCGGGAGATCCGGCACAGCTGGTCGACTGCGGCTGGACAGTACTAAATTTTGATGAACCTCCTCCCAGGTTAGTAAGGGAAACTCATGCTCGGACATCTTAGATCTGTCGGGATCGTCTCCAGCAGATATCTTTCAAGTTGAGATATGAGCTACAGAACTATGAAATGAGCTCAATGGAACTTTGCTGAGCGTCAGTCATGCAATGCAATGCAATTTTCGTTCAAAAGGTGATCAATAATAATATGATTCTCACTCTGAGTACCATGATAAAGTCTGACAATCTCATCAGCTGGATGTTCTCCCATCAGGAAGCGGCTTGATTGGGTTAAGTCGCATGGAACCTCGGCTCGATCACTAATCACAAAAAGACCCTCTACCAAAGTGCAACGGCAAGCTTTCCCCTTAAAGAGGCATGATCTCCTGCAAACATGCCATTTTTAGTCGATGGGCTTTGATCTGAACCAATTGAATTGGCATCTTTGATTCATGAACAAAGCCAAATCACAGCTTTCCTCAGTGGTCTCTGGGGTGCTCCTCAGGTGAGAAGTCGACCGTAGCATCGATCTATATCCATGTGTCCAAGACCGAGTCTCATGGAGCTTTTCTTGCCATCAGGTCATATGCCAGAAAGTCCAGCAGATCCTGCGGTGATATGATTCCTCTCGGAGGTTGTTGACTGGTTCAAGCACCCAGTTTCTGCGAGAGATGAAGAGCATGAGAAAAAGGTGGGGCACCACGACGCTAAGACAAACGAAGCAATCATCATCATCGCAAAGTATGCAGCCGTTCATCGACACTTCCCTCTCTGGCTGAACAAGATCTACGCTCGTTGCTATCAATATGGTCATTGTAGCTGTCGCCGGTGGGACTGGGGGAGTTGGTAAAACAATTGTCGAAACCTTGGTGCGAAATTCCCAGCACCAAGTAATTGTGTTGACTCGCAGCGTAAGTCTCCACGGCAATTAACTGGCTGACCACAGTCTCATCGTGTCCAGGAACCCAAATCAGATCATGCTTTGGATAGAACTCGGCAAGTGCAGGTAGACTACGATGATATTGCCTCTCTGGTCCAAGTTCTGGAGCAGCATGCTGTCCATACCATCATATCCGCAATTGGGATCTTCGATGAGACGACCAGTCAATCTCAGTTAAACCTCATCCAGGCTGCGGAGAATTCCAGCGTCACGACCAGATTCGTGCCTAGCGAATACTCTTTTATCCAAACCAAAGAGTAACCTCCCTCCTGCTGAGTTGTAGTGTTCTTGTTATCATTCCTAATTCGACGTCACCAGCCTCCTTCCCGTTGACCCTAGCATTCAACATTGGCTCGATGCCGCTGAGCTCCTCCAGAAAAGTCACCTTCAGTATACACGGGTCATACCCGGCTTCTTCATGGACTACTGGGGCATGCCTGTGGTGCGCACGAATCTCACACCCTGCACCTTTGGCATCAGCGTCCAGCACTGCCAGGCTGCCATCCCGGGCGACGGAAATGACGTCATCTCCATGACCTACACGTACGATATGGCAGCGTTTCTGGTCAGATTGTTGGACGTTGGGGACTGGCCTGAATTCAGCATTATTGTTGGCGACGAGGTCACGTACAATCAGCTTCTGGGGATGGCCGAGGAGATTCGAGGTCAGTGATTTCATCGATCATTCCCCGTTGCTTAAACTAAACCATTGCAGGTCAGAAGTTCCAGGTCACTTATGACAGTAAAGAAAGTATCAAGGATGGACAGGTTACTATTCCTCCAATGCCCGAAGGAAACCCCTACTCCTCAGAGGATCAACAAGAAATGACTGCCTTAGTGAGCCGACTGACGATAGCTGGTGTTTTCAAGCTACCAGCTAAAGACCGGCTGAACGACAAATTCCCTGATATACAGCCAGTAAAGATGAAGCAATTCCTAGAAGATGCTTGGAAGGACTACAAATGATTGATATGTCCCACATAGAATTCGAATAACATTACAAACTTAATATACAAAGTGTCATCGATTGCATTCATCGCATCATTTCATGATAGCGCTCAACTCCGGCACGGCATTAAGACAAGCGTTTCGTACCGGAGACACCAGAATCTCCATATCTCACAACATCAGGCAGATCATCTTCGCCAGGGCCCTCATTGTACTTATTCGCAGTGCTGGGCTTTGCGTGACGCAGCCGATCACCGGACATGATATTACTCTGGTCAATGGCCTCTCTCTCGTCGTCGTCTGATGGGAAGCAATTGGTCAGTCGCTCAGAACCAACAGGGTATCTGAAGTAGAGCACGTACCAAGCTGCTGGTCTGAGTTCGAGTAGGGAGGCTGCATGGGATCCTCGTAGGGGGCCTCATCGCGCTGAACGGGGACCTGGTTGCGGAGCTCAGAGCGTGTCTCGCCCACGTAGGAGTTGTCAACGACATCGGCTGAAACGGGCGAGGCATCGTTCTCGGCCTCGTAGTTGTCCTCAGCTTCTCTTTCGACACGGTTGGACATTTTGACTATGGTTCTCGTAGAATTGTGATTGCTGAAAGGTTGCGGTGGTTTAGGATTGCAGGCGTGTGGCAGAGTGAATAGATCGCTGGTGATGCACCGATGACAATGCTCGGGATACCGTGGGTATATATGTGTTTCCAGAATTCCGCGAGTCCCAGCATCGCCATCCTGACATCAAGCTGGTGTCAAGGTGTTGTCATGGATGGACGTTGAGTTTGCGATTGGGTTCTGTAGGACGTCATTTGGGTTATCGGCCGCAACCACGTCGACCGAAGGTCTAATTACTGAGCTATTGGCTAAACTACCTCAATGTTTCATATTCAAAGCTCGATCTAGTGGGGATCTACAGACCAACTGCGGGTATACCGATCATTCGGACCACTTGGCGATCAGATCGGTTCAATATCAACACCTTGTTTTTCAACGTTAATCGTAGCTGTACACAGAATCGAACAACTATCAACGAACCACATCATATCATACTATGCGTCTGAGATCATCCAATTCGATCGATCAATCCCAAATTCCCATACCCTGCTTATAACGGACACAACCAGACAAAAACAACGCCCATCTCCCAGCTCTGAGTGGCGGCATGACGCACCTCTAACATCAACCCGGACTCACCCCCCGCGAGATCCAAACCACCGACCTCACCCAACACATAATAATCTTTAATGACCACTTCCCCGGGAGGAGCGGTATCCACACCAGGAACCTGTTTAGTGCCTAAACTGTAGTGTTTCGATGCCGCACTCGGGATATCAAACTCGATCCATCTCCATCTCCATCTCCACCAAACAAACCAATCCGACACAAAGATGTCATACTCGAGGGAAAACAACGAAGTCTCCGCTTCTGGGGAGGATAGGGTAAATGCCATGCGCGGCTACAAGGCGTGAGTCTCCTGTCCTGAATTGACGCCGTCACCGATGGATATGGAACTGGGTTAACCCCGATACGGTTGTGTGAAGTACGCTCAAGAACCCCCGCGTCTCGGACGAAGCGAAGCGGCACGCCAAGGATGTGCTAGATAATGAGCTCCAGTGGGATCAGCCGCGGCATGATCTGTATGCTATGCGGCAGCAGAACAAAGAGCCGAACCGAGTGGCGGGTGGTCTGAAGGCGTCAGTATACCTGGCTCTGCTCTGATGATGGAGAGGTCGGCTGATGTGGCGTGTAGTGCGCAGAGCAATCCGCGTGTGACGCAGAGAGGAAAAGAGAGCGCTGGGGATAAATTGGATGAGTTGGGACGGGCAAGGGAGGAGCAGGCACAGCAGGATCAGTCGCAGGCGCAGCCTGAGGAATAATTATGTATTCATTCTAGATTGTGATATATAGACTTGGATTAGAGCTGCGTTCGTTACTAGATTTTTAATGTTGCACGATCTTGAAAAGGCTCCAGAGAGAGTGTAACAAGCATCTAGTCTAGTTCTTTGTTGTCTATCTATCTAGGCAGTTGACGGGTTGGGAGCGACCACATCATCAGGCCATTTACGGAATATATCCGCTAGATGGTCAATTGGGGCAGTCAGCAGCCCTACCACCGTCTCGAAAGGAGGTTTGTTCGGGGTGCCAGGATGCGACCGGGTGGGAACGAACATCTTCGTTCGGCTGAACGACTTGGACAGGCGCTCACTCTCCTGGGGGGTGATTGCGCTCTCCAGCTTGACAAAGTCAATGGTTTCCTCCTCTTCAATGTGCTGAGCGAGGTCCATCATCATAGACTTGAGGGTCGGTATGAAGGCTGGTTCGGAGGCATGCATGTCCTGGAACTTTTGAAGCTTTTCTTTGATCTTGTACAGCAATCAGTGACATGATAGAAGATCGACGATCAGACTTATGCTCGTACCGTCTGATGTTCACTACGGTCCTTATTGGCTGTCTCAGTACCGTCTCGGAGATGTTTCTCCAGTGCAGGATAGACGACCAACTCTTCGCCTACCGCATGGCGGGCGAGTTCCCAGGTGAGCTTGTTCTGGAACCGGGTTTGTTCATCAGTATCATTGGAGCTCAAGATGATGTTGTAGTATTCTTCAAGCTCTCGGTGGTCCTTTTTGATCGTATCCATAAGGCGGGTCATGATGATTGTTTAGAATTAGCGACGCGCATGTTCACATCTCGTATTCAGGAATGGAACAGCATTAAAAGACCGTCGACGAAAATGCCCTCTGTCGCGACCATGGGATTTTGGAACTTTGTAAACATCACGACACAGAAAATTGAGCATCAACGCGTAAATTCCATTGCCTGGCAGCCATAGAGTGTTGATAGTGTCCTCTCGATCCCGGTTCCCATTGTTTGCCTGGCCACTGGCCCAATTCTCAATCATGGAATGCTGGTCATAGGGCAGCAAGCTGTGATGATGTGACAGCGAGTCAGTGATTGGCAGGCGATTGGAGCAAGGGGAAATACCCGGATCGACGGAAGAGTGGCGCTTTTCGGCGCTTGTCATACTTACACTCACAGGGCAAATCCAGCGAATTGGATTTTGAGTCGTGATGCTTGATCGTATTCCCAGAAGGACTGCAAAGTGTGACGATCCTCGGACTGCCAGAGTCATGAAGAGCTTCAGTGCTTACAGCGAAGTGTAGGCAGCCTGGGTACAAGTACCTAACCCCTCACCATCCATGGAAGGATTTGCGATAAACCTGATCCGGAACTCAGATGGGAATGAGCCTGGCCAACCGGGGCTTTAGCCGACACAGGACAAGAGTCTAGACATGGATCGATGACGGGTGTTGTTCTCCGCTCCCTTCCTCTAGACAGACTAGACGAGGCTAATCACTCAAGTCACATCTTAGTCTTGTCGCGTCCCTGGACGAGGTCTGCCTGACGTAATTCGGATGCATGATCCAGCCTGTCATTTGACGTTCCTCGAGTGTGATGTGTTGGCGACGGGATCAGTGTGTGCCTGACAGGACACGGCGATCCGACTATTGCCGTCTTGGTAGTAATGCGATATTCGTGTTGCTTTCCTCCTGGCTCGATGCATTATTATTATTGTTTGTGCGCTGGCATTCCGAACGGGGTGGGGGCGTCAAATTGTCACCTCCAGCCTGATTGGCACGCACACCTACTATATCTGGCTCTATTTCCCCCGCGCGATCTGGGGCTGGAAATTATATCCAGATAATAGTTCCTGTTCTTGACAGAGGTGCTGATCGCGCGTGAGTTTCGAGAGTCCTCCAAGTTGTGGTCTTGTGCCCGAGCACTCGCGTGACGGATCACATTCACATTTCTCTCATCTGTCGCATTTGTCACAGTTGCAGCTGCTGCCTGTTGGATTCTTAAAGTAAAAAGCCGATCTAAGTATCTGAGCGCTGCTGATCATTTGTGCCATGGCGACTACATATGAAAGGTGAGTCAATCCCCAAAACCCATCCTCCTATCCCCCTGGATCTCAACTAAGTGTTCCATCTTGTTGCACAGATTCCCATTTCACGAACCCGGATCAGGACCAGACTCCCAACTGACAACAATGTCTGAGAGTTCAGTGGTCGGAGACTCTACAGCATACGAATCACTCCACCATGACGGTCTACGAAGGTCCAGCATGGGGAAATGCCTCTTACAATGGCTCTGGTCGACACTGATGATCGACGGCTCAAGAACACAGGATAGCCAGGCCAAACCCTCAAACCTTCGACATGGCGATCATCATGCCCAAGCTCGAAAGGGTAGCACATGCACTACACCGAAAATCTCTACGTCTTATGAAAGTGGACTGCAGGAGCAGTCTCACGCTAGCACGGACGAGGAGAATCCCGCCTGTAAAGCCTGTCGAACATGGGGGGTAGCTTGTGACAGGCAGCAGCCGCGATGCTCGCACTGTCTCGATCAACAGATTTTGTGCTTCTATGTGGCCCCGTTGCGAAAGACGATGAAGAAATCGAGCCGGTCTCGATCATCGCGACCACGAACAGGGACACCAATGCCTTTGCAGCAGCAAAGTTGCTGCTAAATGATGATATCAATCGGTTAAATGAATGAATTGACGATTTAGATAGAGATTTGCTCTCTTCTTGTCACTGGCGATGCGTAGCTGTGCCGCGGCGATGATTTTGAAGTCGCCAGTTTAGATAAAGTTATCGCAAGGGAGCATCTCCTCCGCACAAAGCGGGGGAACACGCCTGGATCCTGGTACATGCATGCAGCGGCGATTGGACTTATCTCCAGATATCCAAGGTTCTTTCTCAGAAAAATGGCGCAATCGGTGTTCCTGAAGCAGAATGATGATCGGCAAGATGGCAGCTTCCACTTATATGCGACCCCATTCTCGTCTCCGCTTCCACGGAGCAGCATGGCCCGAGACGGTTTGCCACGATACCCCTCAAACCATCAAGTACCTGAAGTTCTGTGTCGCAGTCCGTCTCACATCTTGTGCATCAACTCGGGTCACTACCAAAAAGGAAAAGTCACTACATGTTGCTGTCGGAGCACTGTGAGCCGTCTCCGCTCTACAGGCTCATGACGCGGGGTTTTGAAATATGTACCTACATTGGAAATGACATGAGACTTCATCAATCTCAGACTCTCTACAAGTGATTCCTGTATCATGCTGTGATTCCATTCTGTGTAGCCTCCGCATACATACCAGGGTTGCACTACCGCCAATACAAGGTAAGCCCTGCCATTTCCTCTACCCCTGGCAGAGACTAACCTGGCATAGATGGAAGCCGAATACACTCGCCTCGCAGAGACCATCCGCCAGAAGGCCAATGCCCACGACAAGAAGCGCTTCCTAGTCGCCATCGCCGGGATCCCGGGATCCGGCAAAACAACCACCGCAGCCGCCGTCGCCAGGCTTCTGAACGCACAACCCTCACCAAGACACTCTACTCTGCTCTCCATGGACGGATTCCATCTGTCGCGGGCGACGCTGGACCTTTTACCCAATCGAGAAGAAGCGTATAGCCGCCGCGGGGCACCATGGACCTTTGACGCGGCCCGCTTCGTCCAGTTCATCCATCGGCTACGGAATTGGGCTGATTCGACGCCCTGTGCATCTGCAGCGGAGACGATCTACGCACCCTCGTTCGACCACGAAGCTAAAGACCCCATCGAAAATGGCATTGTTATCACCAATGACGCTGAGATCGTGATCATCGAGGGGAATTATCTGCTGCTCGACGAGCCTGAATGGCGAGAGGTGGCTGGGCTGGTCGACTACCGGGTGTTCGTCGAGAGTGATCTGCAGGAAGCGCGAGAACGGGTCGCGCGACGGCATGTCCTGGCAGGGATTGAGAAGACGTTGGAGGATGGATTTCGGAGGGTGGACAGCAACGATTATTTGAACGCGGTTACCATTCGGGAGAAGCTGATCGCTCCAGATATGGTTGTTCACAGTGTGACTGAGCCATCTTGTTGATATTCATACGATGCAGACTCGGATACAATACACAAACTGAAACCTGATCATAGACCATGGTCTACTCCTTGATCTTCTGCTTATGAAACACATCTATAGCCATCAGCTACTGTCCAGACATCCGCAGAGAACAACTTACTTGGAATCTCAGGCATCCAGCTCGCCCTCGAACTACAGAAAAACTCTCCCTTGGGCGGCAACACCTCCGGATCGTCTAGAGTTCCAACGCAGATATACCGGAATTGGTCCTTGACCGCATCCTATTCGATTGCTTAGCGTCTATCCCACTGGTTTCCATGATGCCAAAAACAACTCACCCCGTACTCGAGAATGAAACTTCCACAATTATCGCAGAATTCCCGATGCAGTAACGACCCGGACCCGTTATCGCCAACATGCTCCTTGGGTTTTCCACCGGTCAGTTTGAAGGCATCCTTGGGGATCTTGGCGGTTAGGCCGTAGTTGGTTCCGAATGCTTTCTGTTGGTGTTCAGTTTAGCTATGCGCCATGGGGGGAGGGTAGAGGTGAAACTGACTTTACAGTTTGAGCAGTGGCAGAGAGAGGTTCGTGCTTCGTCCGGGGAGGCAAGGGATATTTCGTATTTGATGTTGCGGCAGTAGCAGGATCCTGTGTAATGCGGCATGGTTCGTGGAGTTGTAGTTGAGATGCCTCGGTGGGTTGTGCGTGGGGTATATTTGAATTTGAAAAGCTGGGGTGAGAGATGGCGATTTACAAGGGAGAGGCGGTTCATATGGTTGCTTTGTTTGAGTCAATTGCTCGATGTTCAAAGATGATTCTATACAAAGTGGCTTACGGTAGCTTGATATATACAGAGAAGGACACTGACGTCATTGCAAATTGCACAGGCAAGGGATCGAAAATAGAGACAATTTTCACTCTCAACTGGTAAGAAACTTGATACATGTAAGTAGAGCTCCTCTATCAAGCCAACTCGAGCTTCTTTGCTGGCCAATTGGCCATGTGTGGACGGTGATGTGATCATGACAAAACGCCCTACTTGCGAATGGCTGCCAACTTCAACTCCACCTCCAGATTCCTCTCATTTGACATCAGCGTCTGACATTCTCCATGGTGCTTCCAGAAAAGTACTGGTACCTCTTCCAAGCCTTCTACATTTATTCCAGACTGAATAGACAAATCGACTGTCGAGATCCTTTAGGAGATTTGCGGGGTTGATCTCGACGACCCCGCACGCTATCAAAATGGCACAGCAGTCTCAAATCACAGACCGAAGCTCAAGCAACAAGCCATCTGATAATCTGCAGAAAAGAGCTGTCGTCTCGTCGCTCATCTTCACTTTCCCAGATGGCGAGTCCTCCAAGCCCAAGGTAGCTCTGTTTCGCCGCAGCGACAAAGTAAGAACGTATCGGTGAGTACCCTCCTCCCCTAGATAAATATATGAGGAACTAACTCAAACAGCCATCACCTAGCCCCAATATCCGGTAGTATCGATCCAACCGACAAAGACCCCCTCACAGCCGCATGGCGCGAGCTCCACGAAGAGACCACCCTCACCCCTACAAACTTGACCCTCTGGCGCGTAGGGAAACCGTTCACCTTCGGCGACTTGTCCGTCAACCGCGAATGGACCATCCACCCGTTCGCCTTCAAACTGAAACCCCCAAGCCAGGGCGGCCAAGGCGAGGCGGCCATCAAGACAGACTGGGAGCACGAAAGCTGGGAATGGCACGATCCGGACTCCGTCATCGATGACGAGAACTTCGGCGGCGTCCCGCGCCTCCACGAGACGCTGCGCCGAGTCTGGTTCGAGTGCGAGATGGACGAGCACGCGGGGGAAGCCCTAGCAGCGGGATTGAAAAGACTGCGCGAGGACCATGAGAGCGGGGCGCACGAGTTGACGGCCATCGCGCTGACGACGTTCCGGGAGGTCATCGAGCAGACGCATGGCAGGATAGACGAGACGTGGTGGTGGATGGTGCGCATGGCTGCGTGGCATCTTGTCAAGAACGGCCGGGAGAATATGGGCGCCGCGACGCTCAACGCGCTCCTCTCGGTGCTGGTGGCCATGGACGAGATTCTGAACCAGACAACGGACAACGGGCAGAAACGGGACCGGATGCTCTCGGCCATCGACTTCCATCTCGCAAATCGAAAAGCCAATACCGCCCGTGTCAAGGACGCGTTCACCTCCTACATCCAATCCGCCTTTCTCGGGACCGAGTCAAAGCGAGACAGAATCACCATGCTCACATTATCCTCCAGCTCCACGATAAGAGACAGCATCCTCGACGCCTTCGCCTCGCTAGACATCCGCACACTCGAACTGCGAATCCTCGAATCCAGACCGCTCTTCGAAGGCGCCAGCCTCGCCTCGTCCATCTACTCCCGCTTCAAATCCGAGTTCGGATCGATCCCCAACAAGAACCTTGATATCAAAGTATACACGGATGCAGCGGCCGCGTTGGCCGCACAGAACGTCGACATCGTTCTCCTCGGCGCTGACCGCATCTGTTCGTCTAAGGGCGTAAGCAACAAAACCGGGTCACTGCCCATCGTGCTCAGCGCAAAGCACGTCACACCAAACGCGAAGATTCTTGTTCTCAGTGAGCTGGAAAAGGTTGTTGGGGACGACGGGATACTGGAAGACAAGGTTGAGGATAACGACCCCGGAGAGGTATTTAGTGCATGGCGCAATGAAAGGGTCAAGGGCACACAGGTGCTTGAAGACAGCTCGACTGGTTTCAAGACAGACCAGGAAAATTCGGCAACTATCGAAGTCAAGAATATATATTTCGAGTGGGTCCCGTTAATGTTGGTTGACGCCTTTGTGAGTGACGAAGGGGTTCTCGATGAGACAATCATCGAAAACAAGTCACAGCAGCTAGGGAAGTTGGCAAGTAAATACTTTGATGACTTATGATTTGACCATAGTTTTACCATATTGACGTCGCCTGTTGTCCATCAATCCAATAGATTCGTCACTATGTACATCAAATCCAGCACCAAAGCCACAGAGGAGAGCGTCACAGAATGGTAATATCTTCAAACAGCTCGTGGAAAAGCAACTCCAAACACCGGCTGATCGAAGGCCTGCCTGGATCATAAAGGCTGCCTGAACGTAAAAGCAAAATAGGAAGAGGTATCATTAAATATCACGAACGCGAGTCTGTCGCTTTGCCGTGCCAATATGTGTGTTGTGCACCTTCGTAGCGAATTTGAGACTAGTCAATGTCTCTGAAAGGTGGGCTTGCAATGGGCTGCACATCACAAACATGAGAGTCTTGGAGTTTCCACCCAGTGAAAATTGAAGCAAGTAAGTGAGCTATCAAACCGAGTCAGTAAGCTTGTTGAACATTGACGATCAGAGGAGAAAAACAAACCTTGCTGTTCCGGTAGGGAATGTGTCCACCTTCCTTTCCTTGTCCAAGAGCCGCAATGACATCTCCGAGACAGCTCAAGCTGCGATTGATGTTCTGTGTTTCCTTCAGTCTGTCCCCGGTTGCCTGGCTGTGACTGAGCCGTTCGCTACCGGCCAGATCCACTAGGTTCAGGGTTCCCTCGCTGCGCTCGCCGGTAATGCTGTTTTCCCCGAGAAGCTTGAGAATGAAGACCGAGTGTGACCGAGAAGATCTTTCGTTGGCTTTGGTGGCCGCCACGGACCGATTGGCCGCAGCTCGTGTCAGAATACACTCGACCATCTCGGGCGACTCCAGCCGAACTGTGGTGATGTCGGTGATCATCGTCTTACATCTCTGCATATCGTGGCGGATCTCGTGTTTCTTCTTGTCTAGCTCTTCTGCCTTGCCCAGAAGGTCGTTCAGGTTTTCGTTGTACACTTCCACGAAGTTGCCTTCCATGGTGTATCTCCAGCCCTTTTCTTCCAGGCTCTGCGCGGTCTCGTAGATCTGATGCACTGCCCTGGGGATCATGCCATCAAGAGAAGACATGGTATGTGTCTTGCCACTGCCTGTCTGGCCATAGCAGAAGATGCAGACATTGTACCCATCGAGGGCACTCTGTACGAGTTGGCTGATTTCCTCGAACACCTCAGCATTCTGAGTCGAGGGTCCGAAGACGCGATCAAAGGAGAAATTGTTGTTCTTTCGAGTAACAGTGCCGAGAGCGCTCCTTTCTTCAGGTCCCAGAAGACAAATCTCTTTGCACTCTTCTGCCTGGTCCGGATACTCAATTTGAGCGACTTCCGCGACTTCCGACTCTAGAGATGGGCGCACTCGACAAAACACCCGAATATTGCCTTTGAGCTCCTGCACCTGATTGTGCAGCTTCCTTCTCAAAGTTTCCTCCTTCCTCAACTTCTCCTTGGTCGCCTCGGTTTCAGCCAAAGCATCCATCATCTGCTGGTTCAGACGCTCGAAGGCCTGAGACTGCTCTTCCCGCCCGGATTCCAGGAATTCTATCCTTGCCTTTAATGCGCGAACCGAGGACTCCAGTGTAACGCTGTTGCTGCTTGCCGTGTCCAGGTTCTGCCGCAAACCGTGATTTGCTTTTCGCTCACGCTCTAGATCTTCTCGAACAGCCTGTAAATCGTGCTGGAGCGTGGCAATTTCCCTATCCTTTCGCTCTAGCTCAAGTAGAGAACGCTGCGAGTCGAGAGCAGTCTGCGAGGTGATTTGGTTGATCTCTTGAAGTCGAACAGCTTTTTCGTCATTTATTTGCTGCTCAAATTGGCGCCTCAGCTCGCCGATTTCCTCATGGCGCTGGTTGTCTAGTGCCTCCAGCTGTTTCTTGCTCTCTTGTCTGACTGTCTCGATTTCGGCGCGCTGCTGGCGTTCTGCGTCGTCCATGGCAATCTCATAGTCCCTTCTCGCATCCTTCAGGGCCCCCTCGGCAGCATCTAGTCGGCTCTTTGTGGTCTCGAGCTCCACCCGTAATGAGAGGTTTGCGTCGGTCAATTCTTTTCGCGTTGCCTCCAACTCGCTCACTATAACCACCGTGAGCATACTTTTAGATCGAGTGGGTATCCATACTCACCTCTGCTCTTGTACAATTCCACGGTCTCTTTCAGACCGAAACTCTCTTGTCCGGCCTGGCTGACTCGTGAGACAAAAGCATTGAAAAACTCCTCCATCGTCTTTTCGCGCGTATCCTGATCCCACTCGGCGCCTGTAGAATAGTTAAAGGTCTTGATCGAAGAATCTTTGTGCAGAAATGGTATGATAGGTGGTTGCCTTTTCCTAGGGGGATGTTTGGAGGGAGACGCAGGCTTCTCTGACAGCTGTCTCACGGGTGAAGATATGGGGATCTTTGAGGTAGGGGGTTTGATGGGTCCATCCTGCGCGGGGTGCAGAGATTTTGGGTCCAATATGTCATGGGAGACGGGGTCCTTTTCCGATGGATCCATAGCAGGACACGGAGAAGCCTCGCGTTGGTCTGCTCGCACAGAGGCCTCTTGGATACCAAAAAGCTTCCGTTGCGAGCCAGGCCAATCACACGACACCTTCCGGTCACTACGCGACGTAATAGATGCAGGGTGCGAATAAATATCAAATATGGAAAACAGGGACTGCCGCCTACCCTTTCTCTTTCCCAAAATGCTTGCAGCAAAATCCTCTTCTTCATGGGTATCCAATGACGTTGCAGGCCGTGTGATGGAGTGGCCGTTCGGTTTTCGGGAGCCAGCAAGGGAGGTGTGCGGTCGTGGCGCATGCGAAGGAGGTCGTGATCCGGGTCCAACGGTGGAGGAGAAATTGGTTCTGGTAGTCCGGGAAGCAGTCGAGGCCGATCGGGTCAGGGTCGATGATGCATAGGAGTTGGTTCTAGTATGGACTCGTCCCGTACCCGTGCCTGGACGTGACGTAGGAAGGGTTCCTGTTCCAGCTCTGCTGGGCTCGGGGGCCTGTGTAGCGCTTCTAGCGCGGGTTGTGTCTGCTGCCGTAAGAATGTGAAGTCGCTCTGTCAGATGTTATTGTGGTTCACATACGCGATAGACTCGAGGTTTTATTCGCAATTGTGCCAGGTTGGGGCAAGCCAGAGCGAGAATTGGTCATCCCCGATGTCATGCCGGCCATGGGGATCCGTGATTTAGTGGTCGGCCTTGGTTGCGCCTGCTCGTCAAAAGAGATAAGTTTTTTGGTACACATCAATTGAGATGGCCGAAGTACCATATGCTCGTTCTCCATGATGATCAATTGCGTTTGTTATCTTCACCGTAGAATATCGGAGAAGCCGGTCTATGACATCCGGAGCGAGAGACAGTGAAGAAGTGAGTATGTCTCAGAGCTGCAGAGCAGACAAGAGTCAACAGTGTATCAACTGGCTCTACGACATGTCAGGGGGGTGGAGCTGCAAAGGGAGGAAGATAAGGTGATGGTCTTCTGTTTAGCTGAGGTGAACAGTTTGCGATGATCGAGTCTGTTTTGGTTTCTGGAGTGACGGAAAGCGGTAAACAAACTTGGCTGACTCAGCAATCTTCCGGCGGGGATGCACTAGTCCTCTTTGGGACAAAGTGCATCGCCCTCATGTTCTTTCATTCGGCATCCTCGAGGATAATAGAGAAGGCAAAATACTTGTACATGAGCTTCTGACTTGGTCAGATTACTTTGAACTCTGCCTTCTTTGCAATAGTCTCTTCGCATCTGAATCATCTTACGAGTTTACGGCATACTCAGTTGGTGCTCCTTTCCCTTTCCTGCTCCCCACTGCGCAGTGGGCACCCACTTCTCCCTGGACTAACTAACGGCGGCTGGACTCTTGCTCGCAGACCGACAGCTTTCCCCATTCCTCCCCAGTGATAAAGTTACATACTCGGTCTCCCTTTTTCTTCAATTGAGTCTTATTGTATTGTTCTTCTAAAAGCCAGCGTCATGTCTGGTCGCTTTGTTCGTTCATCTAAATACCGTGAGCTTCACCGATCCCTTCCCCTCAGGCTGCCCGCCATCTGACAGGTATTAGGACACGTCTTCGGACGACCGACGAGAAAGGTACTTACACTGAGGCACTCGTGATCAATCACACGTTCTGGCAACGACTGATCTAATGCGCAGGATCAATGCTATGATAACCTTCGCGTGTCGAGAAATGCTTGGGATACCAACCTTGTCAAGGTCCGCCTCGCCCGCATCCAGAATTACCCCCTGAAGACAGTCTAAACCCCCAAGCTAGGTCAACCCTCGTTACCTCTCCGTGAATTGGGAAGCTGGTGGTGGTGGTGCTTTTGCTGTCATTCCTCTTGAAGAGCGAGGCAAATTACCCGAGAGAATACCTTTGTTCAGGGGTCATACCGCAGTTGTTCTGGACACCGACTGGTGAGCATCCCTCGCCTACTGTTGATTTCGCGAGGAGAACCAACACATCCCAGGAACCCCTTCAATGATGATTTGATTGCCTCTGGTTCCGACGACGGCAAGGTGAGTTGATCGTAATTCCATGCTTCCAGTGCACTAACTCTTATTGGCTCTGTTCTAGGTCTTGCTTTGGCGAGTTCCCGAAGGATTCACTCTCCGGCCGGACGTCGACCCTGACGAGGTACAAGACATTGCACCTGTTGGAAAGCTGGCCGGTCACCCAAAGTGCGTTCTCTTCAGCCTCCCTCGCACTCTGATCAGTCGCTGGAATGTATCGGTCCTAATTTCTGTCGCAGGAAGATTGGGCACGTGCTCTTCAACCCCGCCGCAGAAAACATCCTCGCGACTGCCTCTGGCGATTTCACTGTTAAGATTTGGGATATTGAAGCCGGGGCCTCCAAATTGACGTTGAACCTGGGAGACATTGTTCAATCCCAAGCGTGGAGCGCCAATGGTTCCCTACTGGTCACCACCTCGCGAGACAAGAAGCTGCGGATCTGGGATGTTCGTCAGGAGCGGCCCGCTCATGAAACCCAGGGACACTCGGGTGCAAAGAACAGTCGTGTCGTATGGCTGGGTGAGCGCGATCGCATTGCGACTACCGGCTTCTCTAAGATGAGCGACCGCCAGCTGGCGCTGTGGGATATTCGTGCCCCTCGTGAACCCATCAACGGCTTCAAGACTCTTGACTCGATCTCCGGTGTGTGCATGCCATTCTGGGATGATGGCACCCAATGTCTGTACCTGGCTGGTAGAGGGTGAGTTGTGAATTCTTCACGATGTTCAGTTGTGATGATCTGTACTGATTACTACTAGCGACGGCAACATTCGCTACTTCGAATTGGAAAATGACAAGTTCGAATTCCTTGCTGAATACAAGTCGGCCGATCCCCAGCGTGGTATTGCTTTCATGCCCAAGCGAGGTGTGAACGCCCACGAGAATGAGGTCACCCGCGCCTTCAAGACTGTCAACGACAGCTACATCGAACCAGTCTCCTTCATCGTCCCTCGCCGGTCCGAAAATTTCCAAGATGATATCTACCCCCCTACCATCGGTCTGAAGCCCGCTATGGGCCCCTCTGAATGGTTCGCTGGAAAGGAAGCCATCCCTCCCAAGGTTTCCATGGCCAGCATTTACGAAGGCCAAGGTCTGAAGGAGGTCACTGGTGTACAAGAGAAGCCTACTGCCACCATCAGTGCCCCTGAGCCCAAGCCCGAGCCCGAACCCAAGCCCGCCGAACCTGTCGCTGCAAAGAAGGCCCCTGAACCCGTCTCGACGCCCTCACCCGTCATCAAGCCCGAGGTGTCCATGAAGGAGCAAGGTGCTTCAATGGCTGCCATGGTGAACAAGTTTGCCGACAAGGAAGATGAAGCCGAACCAATGGATGATGATTCCAGCTTCGAGGAAATCCCTAAGCCTACTGAGCGGGCTGCTCGTTCCGCGGACAACGCCTCGCCCTCGATAAAGAGCAGCCCATGGAACCAGAAGGAAGAGGCCAAGTCGCAGGCTAGCCCTGCTCCGGTGAGCTTCTTTCTTCTAAACCCTCCGCGGCCAAGAACTAATAAAAACAGGCCTCTCCCGTCGTCGCTGAACGAAGCACCCCTACCGTGTCTACTCCTACCACCACAACACCCCCTGCATCCGCAGGATCGACCCTTCAGTCCAGCGCCTCTGTTGCCGCCGACGCCGTCCAGCGTGAGATCTCGGCGATCAAGGACCTGCTCGCGGAGCAAACCAAGACCATTGCATCGCAGGCGGAGCAAGTGCAGAACCTGACTGCGGAGATTGAATCTCTTAAGGCCAAGCTGGGCTAGCCGATTTCTTTTCCGTGATAGCCTCTGCCATGTAGTGTACTCTAACTTGTGTTCGTCGGGGACGTTTTGCAACCTAAAAAGAAACCGTCCTCTTCGTTTGTCCATAGCCATAGTCGGTGTCTTATATTCTCGGGGCTTATAGCATGTTGCAATGTCAATACCACTTCATATCGAGTTTACTCTCTCCTTTATTGATTTTGGATCATTGGGTCTGGACGAGCCATGCGGGGTGTTTATAGAGGTTGTATGGCCATATGATATTCACGCTAATCTGTAACGCCTTGACGATGACACCCTCCGAGCATACTCGATCAGGTTCCTGAAAATGTTTCGTCCATATATCCAAGCTAATCATTTTGCATTGACAATTTGATAACCATGCTCACCATCGTAAGCTACACCGATATGACTCTCTGATTTAAGTTACGGCACACGTCAAGAGTTCATACATCTAGTGATATTTTTCTCTTAAAAATCACTGCCAGTGTCTGATGATGCTTCCATTTAGTACTAGTACTATCCATCCTATATGTACATGTAAATCGGGCGGTGCTGCGCGATGCCAGGAGAATGAGTACCAGAGTGAAGCACCTCAAATATAGCCTGGCATGCGCTCTTCTATCTAGTCAGTAGCGAGGACGGGAGCTGGAGTGTCTCGTGATCACGACCACCGGCTAGCCTCTCGCTCTCGTTCCACACGCGCCGCACGCGCCGAATCAGGCTCCTCGTCTTCATACTTGTAGCTGAGCCGACGGCCTCCGGCCTGGGTACGCTCCTGCCGGCTATCGCGTCGGCGGCTGGATTTGGCCTCTGCGTTCATCGCTTCCCGCCGCTGCTGCTCTTTGAGCATTCGTTCGCGATTGCGGGCCTCGCGCTCCAGCGTGTGTGGATCCTTTTCGGGCTCGGAGGGCTTGGCGGGTGCTTTGTCTCTGGCGCGGTCTTTGTCTCTGTCGCCGCCGTCCTCGCGGTCTCGCTTGATACGTCGGGAATGGTGGCGAGAGGAATAGTCACTGTCAGCGGGGGACTGGGTTCGGTCGCGGCGAGAGCGTTTCCGATCCCGGTCTCGCTCGCGGTCTCGATCCCGGTGGCGATCACGGTCTTTTTCGCGTTCACGGTGTCGATCGCGGTCACGGTTACGCTCTCTTTCTCTGTCACGGTCGCGCCGTCTGGCGTCTCTGTCTCGGTCTCGGTCCCTGTCTCTGTCTCGATTTCGTTCTTCTTCGCGGCGACTGGAGCGGTCCTTCCGCGAGACGGACGCTCTGCTCTCCGAGCGGGAGGCGGGCTCCTCTAGGATCCGCGGAAGACGATCGACGTCATGCGAATCTCCGTTGCGGCTGCGACTCCGGCTTCGGCTGCGACTGCGGCGATGGGATCGATGGGAGCGACGTGCACCCCTGCCCTCCCGTTCCTTGTCCCGTCGGTGAGATGATCGTTTAGAATCAAAAGACGGAGAGCGAGAACGGCGGACATCCTCGGCCGCGGATGGCTCGTCGTATTTGTCTTCTCGACGGGGCCTTCTGGGCGCATCACGTCTGCGTTCGAGATTCTCGGTGCCATTATCCACTGTTGGTGAGCGCTGACGGATGGAGCGGCGGCCATCGACCTCGGAGCGACCGGGAGATCGGGATCGACTCCTCGGTCTGGAGGAAGACCTGACTCTTGACCTTGATCTTGACCTTGATCTCGATTTCGACCTGGACCGGGTCTGTGCGTCTTCGTGCGGCGTTGTTGGGGTTGCGCTACATCAATATGTCAGGTTACGATGCAGACTGAAGAGCCGCTGTAGGACTTACCTCTGTTCGCTTCTTAGCGACGCACCTGCAGGTCGTCCCTGAGCAAAGAAGTTCCGTTGTCTCAGAACACTAGTGTTGGGGAGACCCTCACGCATTGCCCTAGGAGCGGCAGGGGCTCCTTCAACGCCCTGACCCCGCGGTTCCTGCTGCATGTTTGACCCGCCCATAAAAGGAGGGCCCCCAAAGCCACCCCCGCGGCCTCCTGAGAACGGTCCGCGCGTATAGCCTCGTCCAAAGCCCATTCCCATGTGGCCAGGCATGCCCATCGAAGCATTGGGCATCATTTGATAATGGTTGGTCTGATCAAGACTGTCGATCGTAGGGATCCCTCGCAATTGGGTTTCCTCTTCCCCCGTATTTCCATCGGCAGTGGGTCCGTCTGCAGATATAGCCTCTGCTGCAGTGTCGCCAGAAACTTCCTGAGAAGCTGCCTCCTTTGACGGCTCCTGGTCAGGCTTCACTTGTCCATCGCCGGATACATTCTGTGTGTCGCCAGTCCGTCTTTCCGGGGCGCTGGGATCGTCCTGCGATATTCCAGCAGGGCCACCTTCCTGCGACTGGCCTGCCGTGTCTTGATCAAAGTCAGAAGAATTAGGGGTTTGGAATGCTGCGTAGTTAGCATTAGGGGGATAATTAGCCTGCATATGCCCAGCAAAGCCGCCACGGCCACGGCCGCCAGGAGCAAACCCACGGCCGCGGCCTCGGAAATTGCCTCTGCCATAACCGGGGCCATAGTACCCGTTCTGAAAATCTTGGCTAGGGAACTGTTGTTGCTGCATTTGAGCATGAACTCCGTTGGGTTGAGACATATTATATCCGCCAAATCCAGAAGGACCCCCATACTGCGGGCCCATACCATTTGCGAAAGCATTTGGATTGAATTTATCTTGGCCTCCATTCCACATATTGTTCTGAGAGCCGTCCCATCCCCCATACATCCCTTGACTAGCGTCGTAATTCATTCCCATATTCATGCCACTGTTCATGCCATTCATGCTCATCCCGTAGCCTCCAAGCATACCCTGATTCGTGACCATTGGGTCCATTCCCATACCAGACATTCCTGGAGCCGTCATGTCAGTGTCTGAATGCTTTAAGAGACAGATAAGGAGAAACTTACCCATTGGGTTGGGGAAGTTGAACATGCCGTTAGCCATGAACTGGGCCATTGGATTGAAATCGCCGCTGGCGTTGTTCCATGCCATGCTTGGAAAGGCGCCGGGTCCCATGTTGAATCCCATGGGATTGGCGAACATCTGTGCCGGGCCTTGGGCCTGAGTCATTCCTTCGTCCGCGGGTTGGGGGAGCTGAGGCTCTTGCGTCGCATCTCCTTCGGCAGGTTCGTTTCCCTCTGCAGCCTCATCTGTCTGACCTGCCTCGACCGGGCCATCTTCAGCTTGCTCGTTCTGTTTCAGAGGCATTAGCCATCGCCAAATACGTGGGCGTAGTCACCAACAACGTACTTCAACAGAAGCCTTGAGTACTGCTCCTTCATTTATATCTGCCACATTCTCAGGAACGGTGTCCGACGGCTCTGCACCAGTCACAACATTAGATGATGCGTCCCGTGCGACATCATTAGTGTGAAGTTTGCCCTCTGGTGTCTCTCCCACCGCCTTGCCTGCAGGAGTTTCGGACACCGCTGGTGTCTCCGACTGAGCCGGAGTCACATCTGCAGGCGTCACTCCATTCGAGATCGCAGGCGTAGCAGATTGTCGCTCCTTTTCGCGTTTCTTTTCTTCCGTGCGAAGGAAGGCTTTGAGGGTCGTCCGTAAAGCTTTGTTTGGCTTGCATAGGTCGGAGGAAATGGGAGTATGTGCGCACACGGGGCAAGTCTCGGGAAGCGATATCTGGCCTAGAGATCGGACGGTCAAAAGATGCGAAGGGTAAGCTTGTTCGGGTGAGTCAAGTGCATACAGTTTTCACAGATGGACTGGTCGCAACAAGGCAAGCGGAACGCATTAACGGCAAGTTTGTTGCAGATAGCGCATCTCAGCTTAAATGGAATTTCATCCTGAGTGAGGGAGCTGATGGGGCGAAATCGGCACATTAGATCACAAAAGTAGCCTATAAGCTCGATAACTATGATATGCACTCACCTTGCGATGTCCATCAAGCCCGAAGGCTGGTCCGCCACAGCCATTGAGAGTGTTGCCAGCCAGTCGATGATGATAATGGAGGTGAAAGAATCGCGCAGCAACTAGGCTTACGACCGGCAAACAGAGGCCAAAATGGCAATATCAAAGATCAGGCCTGGGTCCACCATCAAGATGAGGCAGTATTCATCTCAACGGCTCCCGAAGCGAAATGGATAGAGCGTTGCCTTGTAGAGCAATCTATCTGTTGGCCAAATTTGGTTGATGGAGAACTTGAGGTGGTTGGCATGGAGAAACAAAATTCCGGCCACCTTTTATCGACCCTATCACTTTTTCGCGTCCCACTTCGGCTTACCTGCATTCAGTTTGTTTTACGAAGCACAACATGCCAATTTTGAACATCAACATGAACTACGCGTCTCAAACTTTGACGATCTCTGCAATCTGAAGCTTTGGTTGCACGATACTATCTACTGCGCTGACCTTTTCGTCTAGCTGGCTTCAATATCACTCCAAGGGCTAGTCTACAGAAGGTAGAAATATCGCTGCGTAAGGCTCTTCTGCCCGCTAGGCTATCAGCAACAGCACCAACGACGCGCCGTCAGATTAGATCAAGTAATTTTCGCCTTCATCGACACACAAGGCCAGCGGCGATACCGTCTGGTTTCTGCTCGCTGAAACTCGTCTTTCCTGCGTCTTGGGAGCTCTTTTATCATCATCAAGCGTCGTGGTACAAGTTGTTCATCAAGTATTTTAATCTTCTTGTTTTGAAAACATGCACATGTGCGATTACACTGGGACATGGATAGGTAGGAGCAGGGAAACATCAAAGAAAGGATAAACCATGGTATCCTATGCAGGCGGTTGGATCAGTAGTTGCATCATCGACAGTGACTCGAAGGACAAAATCACGCGCTGAAAGCAAGCCCAGCATAGAAGGCCCAATCAACGCGCTGTCCGTCCGAAACGCCTTTATGGGCGAAGTGGCGATGAGAGGCTCGTTCGAGTACTCGAGGACAATCAGGATGAATAGAGAATAGAGCATAAAGATAGTCAACCAAGAGAAATGAAACCAGGATAAAAGAGTAACATGTTGAATGGAGATCAGGGGGAGTGTTGATGCAGAAAGAAACATTCGAGAAGCCTTGGTAGTGACTTGGGAGTTGATTTAGGCTGTCGATGACGGTCAGGGAACAGGATCAGAAGTGAATGCACAAATCACAAAAAAGAGGGAGAAAAAAAAAAACCTAAGGCATTCCATAATTTTAGCGCGAGAGTGGAAGGCGGGCGCAGGGTTAAAAAGGGCTGCTGCTGCCCCGGAAGAAAGAAACCCGGACTGTTCTTCTGATAACTGTTATCGCCACGCCCCTTTCTATCCTTTGGCATACGCACTCTTAAGACTTCTTTCCCTCTGCTTGCTGAAGAAGCTCGGGCCATCCGTGGCGCGCCATCTAAACATCTATTATTATTTATTATCCTTAGTATTTCGCTGTCGTCGCGACTGCGACTGTTATTTTATCACCCCCAATCCAAAGGCATTGAGGTCTTCTCAGGGACGCGGTGATATTCACCTCGCAATTGCTTGATTTCCTTTTTGTGATGTATCTATTCGACCCCCGTTATATGTCCTCATACATATACGTGAAGTCAACTTAAGAAGATCCCCGGGAAACAAGGTACCTACCCCGTACTGCAACTATATCCCCCCAGCTAGTTTACGGCAGTGTCTGCATACACACAGGGAAATAGCCATTGCTAAAGCATCATCCTAGCAATGACAGATCAGGACAGCTCCTACAGACCCCGTTCTCCCGATCTTTCTACCCTTCCGTCCTCTATTCCTCCCACCATCAACGCTCCCATCTATCCTGTCGCGAGTCCTCTGGCACATCGCGCTTCCTACGACTCCTCACCTTTCTTTACCCCGCAATATCAGCACCCACCGGCCCCGCCTGGTCGGGTCCCTCAGCAGTACATCCCTCCATTCACAGACCCCAACTCTCATCTTTCCCTAGACATGGCTCGTCGATCCTCTCGTCTGGCGCGCGCAACCGAAGTCGCGCCCATGCCAGAGGTCACATACATGCAGCCAGTACTTTCGGAAGAGCCCCCGCAGCTCCCACAACCCGCGCAACCCAACCCGGTGGCTAGCATTGAGGTGAAGACAAAGTTTCCTGTTGCGCGTATCAAGCGTATCATGCAAGCAGACGAGGATGTCGGAAAGGTGGCACAAGTCACTCCCATTGCTGTCGGTATGTGTTTCCGTCTTCATTTCATCCCCAGGCGTTTTGACCTTGTACTGACTGCTTTCGTATCAAAGCCAAAGCATTAGAACTCTTCATGATCTCTCTGGTCACCAAAGCGGCCAAAGAAGCCAGAGATCGCAACTCCAAACGCGTGACCGCGTCGCATCTGAAACAAGCGGTCGTCAAGGATGAGGTTCTGGATTTCCTCGCCGACATAATCGCCAAAGTCCCCGACCAACCTGCCGGTGGAAGGAAGCATGATGATGACGGCAGCGACCAGAACGAGCAACCCAAACGAAAGCGAGGCGGGCGGCGGCCCAAGGATGATAGTGATTAGGGTCTGTCTCCAACTTTGGGACGTCTCCTTCCTTCATTTTCTCTGCCTTTTTTTTTTCTTCATGGACGACTTGATGGGTGATATCTTAGACGGGAATGGAGAGCGGGCGTATACTCATTTGGCGTTATGCTGGTAGGCATGGTCGGGCTTGCATCTTTGTCTGTTGATGTGAATAAGTACTTTTAGCTCTGGTTCATCGCCGTTGGTTTCCGGATCTGAGTTTGCTTCACTTCCAAATTTCGTTTGTTTCTTCCTGGGCAGTGCCCAGTTTTACTGTTGTACCTCATTGGCTTGACAGGATGCGGCATGATCCTCGACAACTGTCAGGACGGATGACCATGGGTTCTTGAATCACATCAAGAGTATGATTGGGTCAAAAATGCAGGCCTTCGTTGTCAAAGCCTCATCCTAGTGGTGCGTCTCGATTGCGCGTAGTTGGAGACTTGAAGCAGCTCATAGCTCTATACCCGAAAAGGACTCGTGGGTCGACATGCATGATTTATCCCCTAAGACGTGACTGCGCTATTCCCCTTTAGGCACTACTGTTGTCTCAAATCAACTGCTCCTCTACGGAGTATCCTCAGTTCTCTCTTGACCAGGCGATTGTGGTCGACACAGTGTACCAGAAGTAATATGCTGCTGTCACAGAACGATGGACTTTGTATGTTCCGGCTTCTGACTCTCCGTCGCTTGACCTTTTGCCAGGTCTCTGTCATAACTAACAGATAATAGTGGTCTCGTCTAATTGGCGGCTCCCGTTCGCTGTCAACCAAGAGCTTTCGTGCTACGTCGCCCACTGAGAGATTAACAGCTTTCAAGCAGACGTGCAATACTCTGCAAGTAGGTCTTCCCTGTGTCGGCAGATTCCAAAAATGAGCAAGGCTAACTCGCCCGCCTCCTTCGACAGCAAATATGGCGTTCCACTACCACCCCGTCGGGAAACCTATCAGCTGGAGCTCACGCGCGCATCTACATTGAACGGCTGAACTCCATCCTGAGCGATGAATCGCGAGGTCCCGCCCCTCACCCATGCCTAGCATATGCTGCATCCTCCCAGATCTTTGTGACCATCACGAAAGTCACGTTATCGTCCTACGATGGTGGCCAGGTTGGCACGCTCCGAGCCGCGGCTATCTTCTTTAACACCCTGATCGATTCGGAGGTGGATGGGGTCGTTGACAACCGACTGTTTGCGCGCGCTTTGGTGGATTTGGTCCGGCGTGCGGACAAGCACGACGAGGAGGTCGAAGGCAGGCTGGTGGAGCTCTTGTTTGGTGTCGCCAATAACATTCGTTTACAGCCTAGCATATTACCAGCTTGGTTTGCTCCAAGGTCCGACGACCAAGATAAGGAGAGACAAGCCAACACAGGGGCGGAATTCGCTGGCGCGACGAGGACCAACGACTTTCCTTTATTTTATCTGTTGGTGCAATACGTGCATCATGCGGGCCGGGCTGGCGATTTCGCTCGGACGGGCCTACTGTATCTGATTGAAACAGCGTCCAGGTCCAAGATTCTGGAGAGATGGTTGATCGAGAGTGATCTTGCGACCCTAATGGCTACGGGTTTAGGCGCGCTATACAGTCAGCTGGGCAGGTTAGTTGACGATGATAAATGCTGGAACTGAGAACTGGCCTGAGCTGACCAGATACCCTAGCCTGTCCTTCGGTACGACCGAAGAAGAAAACCTTCCACATATCGTCGCATTGTCGGACCATGCAAGACACGAAAGCGCCCTTCCGCCCCAGCTCGATGCGACCATGGATTCGTTCATGTCGTATCTGCTGTTCTGGCAGGACACGATCGACCATTGTAAATCTGCAGAAGTGAATGGTACTCTCTTGGACCATTTTCAGGTCTTGTTTCTAGAGCAACTTTTGTTAGTTCCCTTTTTTTTAAGCATTCTCATCGATCTTCGTGGTATTTTCTGACTATGCTAGGTACCCATCGTTACTGGAATCATCCGACGTGGAAGGTGGCTCTACTGCCGCAGTCCTCACCTATCTATACCGTATTCTTGAGTCAATCGAACAACATGACCTGGTTCACCGTATCCTTCATTTCTTACTTGCGTCGCCGTCCGACTCACAGTTTACGTCCAAAGTGGACATGTCATCCAGTCGTCGAAAATCTCTGGACGTCTTGGCTGCCTTCTCGGAAGAAGCGGCTCGGCCATCTCCTTCTCTCTTTAACCTCAGGGACCTTGCACTCCTTGGACTTCAATCAACGAATCGGCAAACGGTGTTGGCTACGCTACGTTTGCTGACAGTTGTCTTACAACGACATCACTCTTTCGCCCGGTCGTTGTTCCGGACTGTCTCAGGTCAACCTGCGAAGCAGCGAACCGTGGGTGCACTGAACACCGAGCTTGCACAGCTTCTAGGCCTGGCGATATCAATAGTCGATGACCCCACGCGGAATGATTCTTTTGAGAACTATCTGAAGGACGCTTCCTGGATACTGGAGGCGCGTCTGAGTATGCTACCGGCGGAAGATAATCTTGAGGAGGATCGACCACTAGAACTGCGAAAAGATGATCCCATCGTGCGGGAATTGCTGAACCTGCTAGGCACGTTTTTCACCAATAGTGTGATTGTGAATCTGGCGTTGACAGAAGTCCTGACGAGCATCGCTTCCTCGCATCTTGTATCTCTTGATGGGTGGCTTCTGGTTGATCCAATAAAATATGATTACAGCGCCGCACCTACAACCGAGGGTGATTCGAACTTCGAAGTGTTGGAGCAAATCCAGCTGGCCTATCAAGAGCCGACCTGGTCCAGCGCTGACGTACCCATGCTCACCTGTGTCCTGCAGAGTCTTGTGCAACAAATACAGGGTTGGCGCAGGGATATATCAGACTTTGACATACTGATCGCAGCTCGGCAAGACTTGCTCCACCAAGAAAACGATCTCAGGCGATCCCCTAGCCGGTCTCGACATGCCTCTGAACCTCCCACAGGCTCTGCTTCAGAGAGACCAATTGCACGAATGGCGCGGGTGGACTCTGACTTCGGATCTCCGCGTGGAAGAGCAACCCGACCCTTGGACCTGCAGAGCGTTGCATCCATACCGCAGCGCGCTGCGGCTGGATCACCCATGCGGGATCCCTCTGTACGCTCTGCCGCTACCCGGGAATCGTCTATGACCCGGCAATCTGCTGCAGACGAGCTGCGCAAGCGACTAGCCGAGCCTTTCCAGGTGAGGCCACAGTCACAGCTTCAGGGCGAGGAAGATGAGACTGGAGATGTCAAAGAACCAACAGACGTTCTTACAGACCGCTCAGAGGACGCGATTGTGGACGAACGATGCGAGTCCGCAACACTGGGGCACGTCCTGACCAATGCTGTTATCCTGTATGAGTTTCTGCTGGAGCTATCGGCGATTGTACAAGCACGGGGAATTCTGTATGAGGAGGCTGGATTTCCGGGGGTTGACGCTGCAGCCTGATAGTAGCCAAAATTAGCTGGGCTGTGCAAAGGAAGAAGGCCCCATTTGAAGCATATCGTGGGCAGGTACCGCGACCGGAACGGGATACCCATTTAACATTTGTTTTACTGTAGAGAATATAGAAATAGTATTCGACATATATTTCAAACTATCATTTCCCTTCAACCATAAGCTGTTATTGCTATTCCTAGCAGAGAGATATCTTACTTCTCTTTCCGTCGGATATCCAGTCTCGCTGATAGACAGCCTTCCAGGGCATCCCATTGGTGCTTATTTATGCCTGAGGCCCACTATCTTCAGGCACTACCCCTGAGTGTGATGTGGGAAAGGCACAGTATCTGATTGGCTGATGGCACGTGTGGAGTTCAAATTTAGATTCAATTTTTCTGTTTTCCGTACAAATTGAATGGACAAGGTATTGTACCTAGACCATTTATTATTCCTCGTGAGTAGTAAGCACGGGAAATAAAGCTGGAGATGAGAATACCATTGTGCTAGAAAGGGACTCTATTGCAGCTGGAATGTACTAGGTAAGGTAGGTAGTAAGCTGAGTGAGAGATGGTCTTGATTCATCATCCACATCGCTGGTCCGGCTCAAACATTCGCTGCCAAAAGGGGTTCCAGTTTCATATGAATGTGGATGCATTATGAGCAACTTGACTGGACTATGTTTATAGATTTGCAGTGGAGTGGAGCCCTTGTCATGATGGCCAGTGGCTTACTATGGAGTATTCTATTTCAATTTCTGATTTCCCTTTCCGTTTTTCTAGGCTTCAGCACTCCCCTGTCAATCATCAGACAGACAGACAGAACCCCCTGTAGGCTACAACATATTCGATTTGACCAGAAATGATGTCGACCTAGGCGTCATCTACGTAATTGCAGTCTATATACGGCGCACAAGTACAGCTACGGTAGCCGAGCACCTTCACCAATTCCTACGGACGGAGTACGAGCCTCAGCGACAGGCAATGGTCCGCCCCAGCCATGGCCCCTGATGCCCATGATCCTATTGACCGCGAGGACGCCCCGTTTCTCGCTTCTTCCCCGGAAAGCAGCACCTCCAACCGTCGTACCGGGGACGAGGACGACGAGGCGGACCTTAAGAATGTCTACAGCGACAACGACGACGACGACGACGATGAGCGCAATGGGACCCAAGCAATCGAGAGAATCCGCTTTCGCTTCATGGTTACTCTCTTCGCCATGATCCTCGCGTTCGAGGTCGGCATCGTGATGGCCAATGGGCCCATGACGCGCATCTACGAGTCCATCGCCTGTCGGCAGTACTACGCCGAGTATGACCCGCGCCAGATCGCGGCCGACGGGCAGGTGCCTGAGTCGCTGTGCAAGATCAAAGAGGTGCAGACGGAGCTGGCGGCCGTGAAGGGGTACATGGAGTTCTTTGACGGGGTTCTGAGTGCATTTCTGGCGATTCCGTACGGTCTGCTGGCGGACCGGATCGGCCGGAAGCCGATTATCTGCTTGAGTATTCCGGCGTTTGCGCTCAATTCGGTGATCATGTTTGCGGTCATGTGGTATTCGGATATCTTCCCGCTGAGGGCGGTTTGGGCGTCTTGTCTCGCTTGGTTGTTGGGTGGGGGGCCTGTTGTTGCCTTTGCCATTATTTGGACGATGATGTCGGACGTGACGGCGGAAGATGAAAGGTAGGATCCTATGTCTGGACGCTCCTCGGGGAAGAAGAGTGGTGCTGATGTTTGCAGGGCTGCGATGTTCTTCAGATTCGGGGTGGTCAGTATGGGCGCCGACTTCGCCTCCAGCGCCGTCAGCTCATGGATGATGACGTGGGATCCGTGGCTGCCCCTCGTGATCGGCTGGGGCATTGTTCTGGCTGGTGTTCTTTGCGCGATCACGCTGCCAGAAACCATGCATCTTTCGTCCGCTCGGCGTACAGAACGCTCGGCCAGCGTGGAACTTGCCCACTTTGCATCTGAGAATGGCGACCAGAAGGGGGTTATACAGAAAGAGGAACGGCAGATAAGCCCTGATGATAGTGATATGGATAGCGTTGAAGGCGATCAATTACCCTTTACCTTGCGATCAGCACCCAAACGGCCCTTCCTGCGGAGGGTATACTCGCGCAGTCGGCAGTATCTCGCACCTTACTCTTTCATTTTCCGCAACAAGCAGATCATACTCCTCCTCACAGCTTTTCTAGTCTACCGGCTGAGCCGTGGCTCTTCCTGGTTTCTGGTCCAGTACATTTCGACTCGGTACCAATGGACCCTTGCGGAAGCCAACCTTCTCATCTCCTTCAAACCGGCTCTGACCATCCCACTCTTCCTGTTCATCCTGCCGGCACTCTCTCGGCACCTCCTTCGCGGCATGCACACGAGCAAGAAGGATCTCCAGCTGGCCCGCATCAGCATTATCTGCCTCTGTCTGGGTACACTCGGGATCGGGCTGTCTCCGTCCATTGCCATGTTGGTTCCCAGTCTGCTTGTGCAGACGGCGGGATCGGGCTTCCTCTACTTGATCCGGTCATTGGTCACGACACTGGTGAAACAAGAAGAGACTGCGAGATTGTTTACTATCATTGAAGTTTTGCAGGCTGTGGGTAACGTTATCGCCAGTTTGTCCATCACTACGGTGTTCCAGCTGGGTCTGGAACTAGGCGGTTCCTGGATCGGCCTCGCTTGGATGATGACGAGTACAGCATTTGCATTAGTCGGTGCTGCGGTCTGGTGTTTCAAATTGCCTCCAGTCGTCGAGAGTAAAAGTGAGGTCGAAGTCTGATCTCCATGCATTTTCGGTTTCATTGGAGCGGACTTGATCATAGCATGGCGTTTTGTATATAGATGGCGCGATTTACCACCTGTATAGTCTTTTGATCTGTAGTATAGACATTTCTTCATACACCCATATTTGATTAGACACTGAGAAGGCTACTGTATCTATATCAGGTGTTCGTTATCCGGTCGCCAAAGGCGAGCTCCGAGTCAGGTGACTTCGCTTAAGCGTCCTACCACACACCATTTCGGATTATTGTTGTGGCAGTTTATCTTCTTCGTCCCTCTTGTTTTCAACGACATGACAGCCGGATTCGCGTCTCGAGATGATTTGATTGATGCCTCGATATATGGGTCAAGAACACTAGAAGCAGAGCTTCTACGATACAGTGCATCAAGGACGAATATTGGATGGTTTAGAAATAGGTAAGCACCACGATGCTCCTTTGTCTTTCTTCCCTTCTCAAGATGAACAATCTTTCGCATATGTCTTACTTTGCCTATTGTAAAACCTGGTGACTTGTTTTTACCTCATTCTGAAGAAAACAACCTCTCAGCTGGATGTTCGATGTCGACGATGTTGAAGCAGTGTTGACTGAGTGGCAGATACAGTATCCTCGACAGACGATAGCTCATTGAGATGGCATCATGAAGTGTATGCTAAAGACTGTTATGGCCATAGTTATCTTAGATCGGTTGTTTCTGTAGAATTCAGTTCTAATAGATGTCTTCTATCAAAGTTTCATTGTTTCCTCTGCTTTCTCCTCAGGCATCAGCAGGATGTATAGGGTTAGCGCCATATGGCATCTCTCACATGTGACAATTGAGCAGCGTCATCTTCTCCCGTACCCTGTAGATAATTCTTACAATTTCCCCAATTTCGAACCTCCTTTTAACTCGCTCGTCTCTCCTCCGATAAGGATCCTTGGGGCGCGTAGCGGCTTTTCCTCAGCTGCAAGTTCAGCCTAATTACCGCATCGCTCTTCTCACCTCCGAGCGATGGCCGCATTGCGTTCTGAATAATCCTGCTGTTGCTGCCCATTTTCACCATTACTGCTACAACCCGTTGACGCACGGTTCCGCTATGGAGAAGTTCTCACAATTTCGAGACCGAGGTTTGTACTCTCCTGTCTACCGCTGCTTCTCTTGAAGGCTAAGTGCCCGTTGCTGCAGGATCGGGCATTGCGCCATTTCTTCCCATCCCCTCTCAACCGCTGGGCTGGAAGCTCCCTCTCGGGATCTTTTTATTCTTTTTTCGTCTTCCATTGCTCATCTTTGTGTGCTTTTTTTATTTCTTCCTGCTTCAATGGCTGCCAATAAGCTCCTTGGGGAAGAAGGCTTCGCTGTGGTGTATCCTCGGCGTGCCCAGCATCTGGTGGATTGACCTCCAAGTGGACGGTGTGAGAAAGGGGTGCGCGGCCTTCCCTCCACTACATACTCAACCAGGACTGACCAAGACCGAATCTCCAGATCGCTCTCAAAACAACACCAAGCGCGCCTCCCCGGCCCCGGCTCCGTGATCGCCTCCTCCTTCACCTCCCCCATCGACGCACTCTACCTGGCCGCCATCTTCGACCCCGTCTTCACAGTCTCATACCCAGGCTCACGCCGCGTTGAACAAATCTCGCTTTCCCAGGCGATCCTGCGCGCATTTGCCGCCCCACAAGTAAGACCATCGACCAGCGCACGCTTAGTCGATATCGCGAGTTTACTGGAAAAGTATCCCGGGCGGCCCATCGTGACCTTCCCCGAGTGCACCACGACCAACGGACGGGGGGTCTTGCCGCTGAGCCACTCGCTTGCGGGCATTCCAGCGAAAACCAAGATCTTCCCTGTCAGCTTGCGGTATACGCCGGTGGATGTGGTGACGCCATTGCCTGGGAGCTACCTGAGTTTTCTGTGGAAGCTGCTGAGTAGACCGACGCATTGTATACGGGTTCGGATCGCGGAGTGTGTGGTCAAGGGGGAGGTGGGTGCTGCGGACAAGGCTGGGGCGTCCAAGCTTGCCCGCCAGCCGAGTTACGATACCAATTACTTTGACATACTGGAGCAGAGTGATGGGGGTGCGCTTGCTCCTGGTGAGAAGGCGCTCCTGGATCAGGTCGGGGACGCTCTGGCTCGGCTGGGCAGGGTGAAACGTGTGGGATTGGGGGTCAAGGAGAAGCAGGATTTTCTTCGCTCGTGGACGAAGACGCGGCGGACGTGGTGATTTGCCGTCTGAGATTCTTCTTTCACTTCACATATAGATGTCTTATTTAGATTTACGGAATCATGCCTTCTTTAGATTTGTGGTTCTCGAAGCTTGATAGGCTAGCTCGTCAGCAGCCGGCTTGCATCTCGCAACATAACCAGTCCAGTCAAGAAAAAGAAAAGAAAAAAAAGGTATCTGTAATTCATGCGCCTAGTTACACACGTGAAACAACCACTTTTCTGTTCTTTGGCGAGGACTTTCAAAGAAACATGTGTTTTACAAATCCAAAGACAGACATTATCCAAACAAGGTTCCTCTCCCTGATCACATACTCCATCCCTAGGAGTTTATTCTACAGAGTCAGTAATGCAGCCGTGGCTGGCATCCTTGACGGTTCTACAGCCAGTCAGTATCCCATCGGGGGACATCAAGACAGGGGGAAAGAGGCGAGGAACATACCTAGCGTATTTACCCAGGGTACCTCTCATCGTAAGACCAGTCTGAGGCAGCTTGCCGGCCTCCCGGAGGGCCTCCCACTCCTGTCTACGCTGGGCGAGCTCGGACTCGTCGACCTCGAGGTCGAGCAGGCGCTTCTCGGCGTCGATGGTGATGGTGTCGCCATCCTTGACGAGACCGATGGGACCACCCACCGCGGCCTCGGGCACAATGTGACCGATCAGGAAGCCGTGGGAGCCGCCGGAGAAGCGGCCGTCGGTGATGAGGGCGCAGGAGGAGCCGAGGCCGGCGCCCATGAGGGCGGAGGAGGGCTTGAGCATCTCCGGCATGCCGGGTCCGCCCTTGGGGCCGGTGTAGCGGATGACGACGACCGTCTTGTCCTCCTTTTTGATCTCGTTGCGCTCGAGCGCGGCGATGAAGTCGTCCTCGTGGTCGAAGACGCGCGCCTTGCCGACGAACCGGGTGCCTTCCTTACCGGTGATCTTGCCGACGGAGCCGCCAGGCGCCAGGGAGCCGCGGAGGATCTGGATGTGGCCGGTCTTCTTGATCGGGTTGGACAGGGGCCGGATGATCTTCTGGTCGGCCGGGAAGTCGGGGGCGTTTTCGAGGTTCTTGGCAAGGGTTTCACCCGTGACGGTCATGCCGGAGCCGTCGATGACGCCCTCCTTGAGCAGGAACTTGAGCAGGGCGGGGGTACCGCCGATGTTGTGCAGGTCGGCCATGACGTACTTGCCCGATGGCTTGAGGTCGGCCAGGAATGGGGTGCGGTCCGAGACCTTCTGGAAGTCCTCAATGTCCAGCTTGATGCCAACCGAGTCGGCGATGGCGATCAGGTGGAGAACGGCATTGGTCGAGCCACCGGTGATGTTGACGACGATCATGGCGTTCTCGAAGGCCTGGCGGGTCAGGATGTCCGAGGGCCGAATGTCCTCCTTGAGCAGCCGCTTGATCGCCGCACCGGCAGCCAAGCACTCGAGGTCCTTGGCCTTGGACTCGGCCGGGTTCGACGAGGAGCCGGGCAGCGTCATGCCCATGACCTCGATGGCAGTCGCCATGGTGTTAGCCGTGTACATACCGCCACATGCACCGCCGCCGGGGCAGGCGTTGCGGATGATGTCGAAGCGCTGGGGCTCGGTGATCTCGCCGGTCAGGAACTGTCCGTACGCCTGGAAGGCCGAGACGATATCGATGTCGGCGTTGTTCTGAGTCTTGGCGCAGCCGGGCTTGATGGTACCGCCGTACACCATCAGACTGGGGCGGTTGACACGGCCCATGGCCATCAGCACACCGGGCATGTTCTTGTCGCAACCGGGGATACTGATGTTGGCGTCGTACCACTGACCGCCCATGACAGTTTCGATGGAGTCGGCGATCAGATCACGGCTCTGCAGGGAGAACCGCATTCCCTTGGTACCCATGCTGATGGCGTCGCTGACACCAACAGTATTGAACTGGAAGCCGACCAGACCGGCCTTCTGCACACCTTCGCGCACCCGGTTGCTGAGATCGAGCAGGTGCATGTTGCAGGGGTTGCCGTTGTACCAGACAGACGAAATGCCGACCTGCGCCTTGTTCATGTCCTCCTCTGTGAGGCCTGTAGCGTACAGCATGGCCTGGGAAGCACCCTGCGAGATGGGTTGTGTGACATTACGGGAGACCTTATTCAAAGCGCTGTATTCGCTATCTTTGTGTCTGGGGAGAGTGGTCGAGAGGGAACGGCTGGATCGAAATTGATCGTTAGCAGTGATGCTTCTTAGCACAAAAGACCTATTTAGAGGAGCATTGCCTACCGGGAGAAGCTCCGGAGAGCGGAGGGCAGACGCCCTCTGGTCTGAGAGAGAAGCATGGCAGTCAACGACGGACAAGGACTGCAAGACAAGGATCAATTGGATTGTCAGATTCCCCAGATCCTGGAGGTAGCCGTAAGGTTTCAGACTTTGGGGGAGGTTATGATTTCGAGAATCGATCGCTCATTATTGCTGCTGCGGGAGAGCTGGAGAAAGGTGATTCCGTCGCCCCCGGAGTCGTGCAGCTTCTCCCCGACGTCCTGCGAAACCGGGGATCCTCAGAGTCCCGATGCCGGGCAGCAGCCAATCCACAGCCGAGGATTGTCAGCATAACGGAATGCCTACTGTGTGTGCACTGTATATCTTTTACTACATAATTCGGATACTATCATGCATAGAACTCAGTTTCATTTGAAGACATGACACGCACAATCAAAGTCTAAGCTATCGTGACCTCCATCGCAAATCCATACCAAGTACATGATGCACGGAACATAGGACATGGGCCATGAGGCGAAGCAGAACAAGACGAAAACAAGAACAGGGGAGAAAACAAAGAAATCATATCTGGGGGTATAAAGTCTCTGGTCTAGCCAAAGTAGTCCAAGAATGTAAAGAGTGAATGCAATAGGAAAATCGTAAGCATGAAGACCCGTCGTCTCTCGGAACCCATCACCTCAAGACCATGTATCGCTGAGAAGAGCAGAAACAGAATGCAGGAATAAAAAAAAACTGAGAAATAAAAGTATAGAACGTGCAAGAGACCAGCTCTATGGCACTTCCCTGTCTCCTCGCTTGAGCCCACCTGGAACATCAATTGCATCCTTGACCCAATCCAGGGCCGCAATCTCGTCGAGACCCTTCCGTCTGGTGTTGCGCTTCAGTAGGCCCTCCACACAATCCCGCGCTCCTTCCAGGTCCTTTCCCTTGACAGGATCCCACTCGCCATCACTGTCGGCATATCTGTACCAGGCCCATTCGCATCGAGCGATGCGGTGGGGTGTCCGGGCTCGAAGTTTCTCCGGATCGCCTCGAGCACCAGGCAGGGCATCAAACGGCAACCGATTCTCCATCATGGCATAGAGGAGCACTCCCAGGGCCCATGCATCAGTCGATCGTCCGTCGTACGGTTGTCCCATCAAGATCTCCGGCGCCGCGTAGTCCTCACTTCCACACCGGGTCTGAAGCAGGGGGCTTTCAGGAGGCTCGGGAATGCGTCTGGAAAGACCGAGATCGCTCAACGTGACAACAGCCCGGTCATATGTGCGCCAGTCAGTAATCTTTTCCATTGCAGTGGGAGGAAGCGTAACAAGCACGTCTGTAAAGCATTCAGTCATTTCCATCATAACAAAGGGATGTGGGTTAACTTACTCTCGAGTTTGATATCTCTATGCACAATATAATTCCCATGAAGATACCGCACTGCGTCCACAAGTTCCGCGAAGATCCGGCGGATGAGTTCTGGGCTCATAGGCTTGACACCCGATGCAGCAACATCGAAAAGGTCACCGCCAGGACAGTAATCCAGAACGAGAAGCGCACGCTTCTCGTCGCTTCCAAACGCCTTGAGTTGCACAAGAGACGGATGGTTGACAGACTTGAGGATCTCCACTTCCCGCTTCAGGGAAACTTCCAGCCGCTCTTCATCTGCGCCGCCTGCCGGTCCATACTCGATGATCTTGACAGCCACCAACTTCTGGGTTGTAGGCGCAAGGCCGTCCATAAGAGGACCATCATGAACTTCGCCGCTTTCTCGGTTCTCCATGCGCACTGCCAGGCAGACCTGACTGAAAGTGCCCTGGCCCAATTGACGCAGCTTGCGATACTTCCGCGGTTGATCGGTCCGGATGGAGCGTACTGAATAGATCTCCTCCGAGGCATCAGGCGACGGAGTCTGAGTAATCACGGATTCCACATCGCCTGCTTCATTGCCCCTGCTTCGGGGCGGAGTAGGAGGACGGACGGCGGGCAAAGCAATGCCCCGCTGGATGGCCAGATATTCTTCGCGGTGGAGGTTGTTTGATTTGGAATCAGTACTCACCGATGAAGTCATACCCTGGGGTAAACCGGCTCCCGACACCGCGATTGGGCGTGGCTTGATGGGCACACTCCGACCGGGGGGCACATATTCGCTGAGACTGCGATTGCGTGTATGCTTGTGCGCCGTCTCTTGGCGACCCTTGCCGGGTGTCTCTGGAGAAATTTCACCAGTGGCTTTTCCCAATGCCGGATATTGTTTATTGCGCGATCGGGACTCGGCCGGCCCAAGCATCTGCGAAGAGTCACTGAGACGCAAGCTGAGGCTGGACCCATTCCTTGACATGGCTGAAGGAGTGCGTGATAAAGACTGTGAGCCGCGCCGATGTCTCCAAGAAGTCATGCCACCAATTGGCGATGGCAAAGGCGTGATGTCGCCCATCGCCACTAATTGGGGCGAGGATATTGACGCTGGTGATAGTCCCTCATTGGGGGCCGAACTAGCGAGCACTGCGCGAAGACTTGGGGTCCGCTGGGGGAGACTACCGGGCGAGAGGCTTTGGTTTAGGAAGGGGTCATTCTCCTTGAGAGCGTCCATTGATACTGGTCCTGCGATATCCGTGCGAATATGAAGTGATGGTAGACCGTGGTGGTGGTGCTGAGTTGCACTCGCTAGATCATGGTCTTTATATACCGGCGGCGAGTAATGCCGCTCGTCGCCATGGCTCAAGGACGCCATAGTATTCGTCGCATTGTCGGTTGAAAGCGTTGTCGCATCGGCTTCGTGTAACCGGGGGAGCTGGGTCAAAGGGTGTGACCTGCCGGTCCGCTGGCTCGAATCCGAATCACTCATCGAAGGAGTAAGAAAATCTTACTCTTTTCTGGTTTTCTCGACGAGTGTTTTCTTTGTTACTGACTCTCGCCGAGGGATGTTCTTTGTCGCGCCGTTGAGGTATCTGAACCAGACAAACATCAATGAACGAGGAAAGAGTCGAGTTGGTTGCTGCGGGTGAGACCGGGCGCTTGGTTCGAGAATGTGACAGCCCCGGAGAACCACTCGGATCAAGCTTAAGCAAATCAAGTCGTCCTTGGCGGGAGCAGATAAAGAAGGCCCTAAGGCCCGGGTGTTTCAGGCGAAGATAAGGAATCCAAGGAAACCTTTATGCCTCTAGTTCGACCATGCAAGAGTTCGAAACTGGGAGGGATGAAGGAGAGAAAGAACGATGATAAAGGTCCTTCAAAAGCCGGGCAGATTGATGGACACTAAGACACTAACGCGTCCTTCGAATAACTAGGTAAATGATCTAATAATAATCTAACAGACTTAACAGCACTAACATAGTACTTGTAGGTAGTTAACAGGAGCAGCCGCCGCAAATGGCTGATGATTAAAGACGCCGCAGAAAAATCCACGCGGGGTCAGCTGATGGCCCATTCTGGATCTAGACTAGTCAGAAGGGCAACTACCCCGCATTGAGTAAGGCTTTGGCTGTAAGAGGTTAGTCATCATCAGGTACAGAGGAAAGCATCGTCTTAATTAGGTAGTCAAAGTATCTGGACCTAGTCGACAGAATGGAAACAGAAGCCTGGATCAAAGCTCGGATCCTGAGCTGTCTATAAACCTATTAAATCTCAATGTTGGGAATATTGATTTAAATTCAGATGTGCTCAGCTGCAGAGGTTGAGAGGACATCTTTGAGAGCAAGCAGTTACTAACAGAGGACTGTGCCTTGCATGTTAAGAATGAGGTGAGTCCTGAGGCTTACAGTCTGTGCATATTTAGCCCTTCGACCGCTTTCCTTGCCTCCAAAAGAATCCACATCAAAGAGTTTCCCGCGTTCTTTCCCAAAGTAGTGTCTCTGAGGCCACAGGTAGTTGTACGTTCCCAAAAAAGGAAGGTACCTGGTTGCCTCAGGAGGTCGCTTGCATCTGTCCAGCATGAGACACATACCTAGGTACTCTGTCCTGGTCGATAACAGACAACCAACATGTAGTCAGATATAATGCCTCATCCAAGTATTCATCTCTGCCAAAGTTAGTCATCATGCCGCCCCCTGATGGTCATTCTCCCATAGAACCAGAGGCCTTTTTACTCAGTCTCCTTTGTTCTATAAAACAAGCATCTTGCTGCTACACTATCCATTAATCTGGCGTACTATGCATATCATCTGCAGAGCACATGCACTAAAGCATTCTTAGATGATTCATTTGTCAAATTTTCTGCGATAAAGGACTCTTATTGGCACCTGGTAACTTTCAGGACTTGCGACCAATGACTGCCACATTATCCAGGCGTCGAGGGTTCGAGCCGCATGATGCCTTGCTGCCTTGGTCTTCTTTCTTATCCTTGCATGTATGCTCTTCTGCTGGTCTCAATGATCACCCATCACAAGGCTATATCTGATACAGTGAAGAAGGAAAGATGTGAAAGGAATTGCACGTAATCATGGACAATGTTCAGATCAGTTTTCATCGCAGAAGTCATTCGCCTGGAAGGTAATCGGGAAGGTGAGAAACTGGTACAGGCAGCAAGTCTATGAAGGTTGGAATGTGTATAGGATGAGATCAAGAAAGCTCGTTGCTGTCTGCAGGTGGTTTATTACCATCAAAGCTATCATTATGTGATTGAAGATGAGTTATACTAAACAATCATAAAATTGTATTGGTCGAGTGACTTCACTATCAGGCGAGGAGGTTCAGCCGGGGTTAAGAGGCTGCCTTCAGCAAACGTTCCATGTAGAGCAGTATGCCTGAGTGAATAATATGAGAGCATAGATGATCTCGTGCGTCTCTAGATATCAATCGCTCTATGGACAGCTTCATCGAGCTTGAAGCATGCAGCACAGCCTTGAGACGGTGCTCCTGAAATATCAAATCTGCAGGATGAAATTTAAGTAGAGAATAAACAACAATGTATTTGTTCCACAATCTAAAGTGAGTCTGAACGGTCTTTATACGGCTACCCACGGTCCTATAGTGAACACTTGATGAGTACCACAACATATCGGCTAACCGAAGCATCCCGTATCTACAAGCCCACCCGAAGCTATCTATAATGAAGACACATCGGCAAGTTGGATCGACGGGATGTTCTCAGAGAAGGATACATCTTGCAAATAGAGCTCAAAATGCAGAACACTTTGTGAAGAAGAGTCTCAGGAGGGAAATGCCTCTTTGAAAGTCGAGCTCACTGAAGTAGGAGCTGTTCTTCGGCAAGCCGACATAGGCCCAAGTCCAACCTGAGCTGTATGTGAACTATGAACTATTCACAGTGGCAAAACTACAGAGCTCTTCAAGGAGCAGCACCTGAATACTAGTCCATAATAGCTCCTCTTCTCTTACTTGTCGGTTAGAGCGGGACTCGGCCTTATGGCACTGTTGCTCCTGGGAATGGACCCTGACCGGGAATGGGATCTCATGCCTCGGCATGTCCATGCGTTCTTGTTGGAAAGAGCTTGCGGCCAACCAACTCGCCTTTCTGCACCCGATGCCGAGTGGATTCTTTCTCGAGCTGGACAGGCCGACACTGCCTCATCAAGGGCTCCAAAGCGGGCCAGGTCTAGTGTAACACCAACACCAACGCGACGGCCACATGCACAGTGCCCGCGATGGGGGCCGGGACCGTTCTTTCGACTACCGCTACCGCAACGAGCGCTAATTAAACTGGGACTGCGAGCTCGAGTGGCGGCGCAACTGCCACTTCTTCGTCTGGTGGTGCGGCAGGAGTCTCTGGGAGATCTGTTGGGCTTCTAGCTCCAGTTGTTCTTTGGATATGTTGCCGGTGCGGTGCTTCGAGAGAACCTAGGGGCGGGTCGTGACGTTGAGCAGAATGAGGGAGAGAACTCTGGAATAGACAGAACACCATGGCCTATGAGAAGCATAACAATTGAGTCGTTCGGTTGTAAGGTGATCCAAACTGCATGTCGCATGTAAACGCCGCGAAAGTGCCTGCCAAAAGTAAGTTTGTCCAGATATAATTGTGTCTCAAGTTCAGGGATGCTGATGGATAGTATGCTTAAGTCAGGAATCGCGTGCGTTTCGAGTCTTTTCATTTGAGCTCCTAAATCATCCAGATGAGCAGATCAACGCTCTGACGGAGCCCGCCCTGTGCAAAGGCTGGAGGCGACTATATGTACAGAAACCGTAAAATTTGAAAAAGAAAAACCCATTATCATGCCCGTCCCAACTCACGGATAATGCAAAAAGATGGATACTCTGAGCGCCGGAGTGAAGAGATCTGTGAAGTGTAACGAGAAAGCCGTTCTAATACAGTTGGGGGAAAAAATAAGGCGAGAATAAAGGAGTATAAAATGAACATCACCCGCCCGTTTCGCTGAAATAAAGCATGGAGTTTGTGGGTTCTGCGACTTTGCGATGATTCAATTTCGAGTCGACATGGCTCAAGCGTCCAAATCACAATCGCGCAAAGGTTGGGTCGTCGTTTACAGAATAGCGCGACGGATGACCTATGTAATTGTTAGCGAACGATGCTATTAGAAGAGAAAAAAAGGGGGGGGATGCACGTACAGTCCAGGTACCGGCGATACCAGCCACAATGCCGCCAGAGATCATCATGGGCTTGAGACCCCTAGTACTCTTGAAGATCATTCCACTCAAGGCACCTGCAACAATGCTGTTGGCTGCGTCGTGCTTTCCGCGTGCGTAACCCAGTCCCGAGTTGAGACCATTGTATACCATAGCCACCACACCCGCTGAGTTTCCGAGGAACGGTCCTCTTCTGGTAATCGAGTTCAGAACACCGTTCAGCCGAATCTTGGGAGGCGCTGTGGCTGGTGTCCGCCTCAGTCCTTCAGCCAGACCCCAAGCACCTCCAAGAGTCAGCGCAGCAAGGTAGGTAGTTCCAGTTCCGTAACACAGATCGTCCGACCATCCGCGGGATGGCAATACCGATCGCGAGCCCGGAATTTCGTCAAGGGCGGAGTCTTCGAGGGTCAGGTAATCAAGAGTGTCTTGGTTTAAGCCAGCAAGAGGATGGAGCTGAGTGGGATCAGGTATAAGAGCTTCGGAGAGGAAGGATGTGGCATCTTGCGCGGCCGAAGGGTCGAAAGCCTCGGATCCTTGGGCCTGCTTGCGGCCGCTGATTGAGTCCCAGATCGCCATTTTGATGTGGGAAAATAATTAGATTAGAACACAAATAAGAAATTTGAATGGGAAGTAGAGCGAGTGAGGTGAAGAGCACTACCCCGACAACGCAACTGGTCTTGATCGCAGGGTTGATGAATGGCAGACGAATTAATGGAAGACCGGAGAACAAAAACTTCAGCAGTCACTGATGTCCGTCGCTCACGTCGTTTCCGCCGGGCCGGCATCGGGAAAATCCATGACCGGAGCTAAGCCTTTTTGGGAGACCCGCCTCGAAAATCCACAAGAGGCAAAAGAGGATGGCAAACGCGGGGAACGGAAATTTTGAGGGTGCGAGTAGGTTCGATTGATCATTGTCGGAAATTTTGATGAGCCCGCGGTATGCCAATTCAGTAGAGGACATGCAGGCTTCAGCTGTCTCCAGCGTTTCGGGTGACGGAAGACGCGTAGACATGGAGGAGATATCGCAGACTATACAACCTCTATCGGAGGATACTTTGAGCAAAATTTCGAAAGGACCATTGGTCAAATTTGCACAGGAATGCGATGAGGTTGAGTAAGATAATGCTTTAAAACTCTTTTCTGGACATTTTTAGTCGAATTTTCTGACATTGTCATAGGAAGGTGAGCCGGGTATGGCAGAGCTTGTTGAAGACATTTTCCACAGCATCCATTCCTAGTTCTCATACGACGGCATCATGTAATGCTTTAAGTGCGTTCCTTGATGCCGCTTCTGTCTCCAAGTGTGAA